CAGCAGGGGCCGCCTCCTCGGCCGGGCCCGGAGGAGGGATTTAGCCCGAGCCTCTGGCGGCGGCGGCGGCGGGGCCGCGACTGCTGCTGGTGCTCCGCGGCGGCGGCGGCGCGTTCCTGCCCCTCAAGGACGCGCGGGCTCCCCGGGGGCGGCTGCGCGCTCGGGGCGCAGCGCCCTGCGCTCCCCTCCGGCCCGCGGCGCGCCCGGGAGCGGCATGGCGCTGCTCTGGCGGCTCGGGCTGCTCTTGGCTTCGTGCGGCGGCTTCGGCGAGCCCCGGTCGGCGCCGGGACGTGGCGGCCCCGTCCCGGGAGCGGGTGAGTGAGCGACCCGCGCCGGGCGCCCGCGCCGCGGTGGCGGCCGGTGACAGGGGATGCCCGCGGATGCCCGCCCTTCGGAGTCGCACCCTCTGGGGGGCTGCTTCACACGTTACGCTGTGGACGCGTGTACGGCTGAGGTGACAGCCGGCGCCTGCGCAGCGCGGCACGGCACGCAAGGAGCAGCCGCTGGGTTTACCCCGAAAGGGGCGAGTGTGGCGAAATTTAGGCGGGGTGCCTTTAGGTGGGGGAAGCCGTCGGCTTGTTTTGAAGTGTGCGCGAGAGCTCGCCAGGTGGTTTGGTTGGTTGTCAGGCATGTTTGCAAGGAGAATGCTGGGGAACATGGGCACGAGGGTCCTGTCGCCCTCCTGGCGGGGTTGGGGTTTCCCGGAATGCCGGACTAGGGGGAAACCTCGCCCTGATCCCGCGTGGTTCTCCTTGTGTTCTTAGGTAGTACTTTTTGGTCTCTGGGCCGACAAGTTCAGCATGTTGTATACTATGGGTGGGGTGGCCGCAGCCTTCCCAGTGCTGCTGGACTATATTTCCCATAATCCCTGAACCTTGCCCATGCAGAGTGGGGCTGATGGGAATTGGAGTTGGACAAGGATGGTTCCCCCTTCCCACCTCTGAAGGGCCTAAGCTGATTAACTGTGGTGGTTCTACTTTTTAGGCAGAGGTTTTTTCTGGCTTTAGCGAGTGAAGTTGAGGACTAAATTGGGGATGTACACAAAGCATGTGTCCTGGCACTGAAGTATCGCTCTTCTCCTAGAGACGGAGTAAGTTTCTAGCCCTTAGACTTTTGAGGAAAGAGTCCTTTAGTTAGGATTGGAAGAAGTGGCCTTATATCCTGGGAACCGTGGAACCGCTTGGATGGAAAGTATGAGATTCACCTAGAAATATTAAAGCTCCATTCATAAATAGCAACACCCCAGCAAGGTGTGCGATGTGATGTCCACACCACAGATTTGCCACTAAATTGGAAAAAACAGCCGCTTGTCCAGGGGCCAAGTCATGAGATCGCAGTGGCAACCATTTCCAGCCAGCCGGTCAGTCTTTCGGCCAGCCTATCACGCTCCCTCTCCCAGTTTCATCTTTGCCCCAGTGAAGTTGTCATACTGGTCTGTATCTGACACCGTGACACTTTTCTCAGAGTGTCTGCTACCCAGCAGTGCCCCTGAGCTTGTGCAGAGAGCTTTTTCCCCACCACAGTATCAGCAGAGCAGGGCAGATGTACCAGCAGCCCTTGAAATGATGTTGGTTTCAGTTTCCCATCCAGCAGCTGGGCGAGGTTGATGGGAGTTGTAATCCAGCATTGTGCGGAGGGGCCAAGGGCTCCTCCACCCCTGAAGGAGAGGATGCCAATCCATTCTGAGTGTTAGGAAGAGAGTTTCCAAACGAGTTTGTCGAAAGCATCCCTTCTTTCAAATACTGAAGGATGGGGATGCTTGTGAGGTTCCAGGTCTTTTCTGCATATTTACTTAGAAACAAACCCTGTTGTATTTAGTGAGTTTCTTTCCGAGTTTGTAGCCATTTGCTCCACCTGCACTAGCAAGCTCAATTTGTAGGAAAAAGTTTGGTTTGAATGCTAAAGAAAAATGTGTTGATGCTAAGAATGGTTTCCAAGATCTTCTGAGCATTCCCAAGAGCATCTGCTCTCAACCTGTTGTCTTCTAGATGGGTGGGACCAAAATCTTAGACTTAATCCCCAGCATTTCTTGCTTACGAAAGACTGTCTGTCCCGGGATTGTGTTTGTGTGTGTTTTGCTCGCTGAGATTCTCCAAGCTCTGTAGCAGAAAAGAACCGGCCTCTTCAGGAAACAGACTGTAAGAAAGATGGAAGGAAAAAGTACGGTTTGTTCTTATTTATACAGCCTTGTCCGACATGGTGATCACTCCCAGCATTCATGATCTCAGCCCATGCTGGCTGGGGCTGATGGGACCTGTAGGGCCAGGTTGGAGAGGCTGGTTATCTGAAGTCCACACCACAGATTCTTACCAGCTTAGCCCATTAAACGGAGTGGGATATAATTGCTGAATCTGCACACATGTGCCGGTTCAGCTTTTTTTTTCTATGCACCCTTCCTCCTGTCGCTCATCCCTTTCCCCTTCCCTACTCTGGCTAAGCGCAGAGGCCATCTCGGCACATCCCCGCTTCAAATGTGCTTGGCTAAGTGATTCAGCAAAAAACCACAGATAAAGGACATCCTTTCCTCCCTCACTGAAAATGAAGAAGTATAGTTTGGCATCATCGGAAAGCTACTGGAGCACAGGGGTTAGGGTGTGGGACCGGGACTCAGAAAGTCCGGGTTCTGGTTCCCATTCGTCCATGAAGCTCAGTTGCGTTGCTTTGGGCCACTCGCAGACTCTCAGACCAGCCTACCTCACAGGGTTGTTGTTGGAAGGATTAAACGGCGCCAAGCAAGCCGTGTTGGGTTCTTCTGAAGTTCAAAAGGCAGGATATTTTATTTATTTAATTAATTAAAAACCTTTGTAGACCATCCCATTACCAAAGTCTCTGGATGGTTTAATAATACAAAATGTACAAAAATAAAAATAAATTTAAAGCATGCAATAGAACCACCACCACCACCACCATCGTCTTGCTTCTGATGTCAGTATCAAATTCTAAATATGTGCTAGAAAATCAACGCCACTTTCTAAAGCCACCAAGTTTCTATCCTTAAAGATCCTGGAGATGTCTCACGTAAGAAGGACCGAAAAGTTGGGGTTTCCACACCTTTTGAAACACTGAATCTCAATTTATTGGGGGCCCCTCTGACTAGGCTTGTCTCAGTGAAGCAGTCAGACTTTTCCTGGTTCTGGCTGTCCATTGTTGTGTGTCGAGCTGGCAGAGAAAGGGGAATCATAGAATAGAAGAGCTGGAAGGGGCCCTGAAGGCCATCTAATCCAACCCCCTGCTGTTGCAGGAGGGGTTGGACTCGATGTTTGAGTGGGGGGGTCTCTGACGTTTGTGCTGGTGGCTGGTCACAGGTAGCGGTGCCTGGGGGCAAGGGGGAGACCGGACCTGCTCCTGGACCATCGTGCCAAAGGTCCTGCAGGGCGAGAAGCACATCAGCCTGAAGCGAGCCATGATGGTAAGAAGCCCTGCCATATTTCGGCCTTCACTGGGAGAAAGTTATGGACCGTTGGAAGGGGGAAGCTGGCCAGCTGTGCGATGAGCTCACCTCCTCTCGGTGCCTGCCCCGTGCAGCCCTCAGTCCCCTCCCGGGTGATGGGCTCAGCCCTTCGATGCTGGGAGGGAGTCTCCCAAGCATTTCCGTCTATTACTGCTGGGCAGGAAGTGCTGGGTGGGGTGGGAATGGGGGAGAAGCCAACACCTTTTTGCAGAGGCGGCTCATCCCCCCCCACCGTCCTTCACACCCAGAGGACAATGAACTAACTGGGGAGCAGTGCTTCCTGCCAGCAGGAATGAGCAGCCCCTCCCCAGCCTTCGTTTGACCCTGCAGGGAGCCCGGGCACGGAGCCGGCCGCCTCCGTTTGGCCTCTCCTGCCCAACCGGCGAGCCAGCAAGAACATTTTGCGGTGGGGGATCTGTTTTCCGAAGGCTGTGTCTTCCGTGGCAGCCTCTAACTGTCTCCACCTCTCGTCCACAGGGGCAGAAGGGGTTCCCCACCTGGCTGCAGGTTGTTCTGGAGGTTGAAGGAGAGCACCTTCAGTTGGATTTGGTACAGAATTGGTGAGTTGGGCCGTGGTTGGTAGCACTGGGGGAACACTCTAGGGGCCAGATTTGGAGAAGATCCCCACTGGATTGACATCAGAGGTCCTTCCAGCCCAGTATCCTGCCTCCAGCATGGGCCACCTGGAAGGCGGCAGGTGGAGGGAAGCTTCTCAGCTTTGCATTCACAAAAATAATCAGGATTCCTGATTAACAGTCATGGACAAGTGGAAACTGCAACCGAGTGTTGCAACATCAACTGCTTTTGCCAGTGGTTTCTTCCAGGAAGCTGCATTTCATTCTCCAGTCTTCCGTCTCTCACTACCACCGCCAAGGGGTACTCTATTTTTTCCAAGTATTTTGTATTTTTGTCTAACTTTTTCCTCTCAACTCCTTCCTTCCCCAAGTGCGTTGATGCCTCACTCGAGTTTTCTAATTATCTTTTTTTGGCCACTTAGCCATCCTAACTCAGTTAAACCCTTTAACTTGTTTTTGTAAAGTTTTGTAACTGCAGTTAAACTTCAGCATTATAGCAATTCAATTTCCATCTACCCGCAATGGCCCAGTGCCCTTTTCCTGATTTCCCGCTGCTTAGTGGCTCCCTGGCTTTTGTGCTGTCTTTTTCCCCATCCCAAAAGGTTGAAGCTTTGCTTCCTGACAGTGAGAGCTTTGGGGACAGAATTTAGTCCGTGTTCACAGTGTTGGGGGCCGGGGGGCTTTTTCCCCATCTAAGCATACCTGGAGTGCCCCTGCAGCATTGTGGCTCCACCTGTTTTGCCTTTGACATGTTCCCTGAGAGCGTCTCCAAAACGAAATTCGGCCTTGGTGTGAAAGTGGTTCTTGCTGCAGTTACACAGCGCACAGTTTTTCTTCATTCTCCGGAAACAGGGATTTTATTTATTTATCTATTTATTTAAAACTTTTGTATACCGCCCCATCACGGACATCTCAGGACGGTTCGCAATAACAACAGTAAAATAGCACAGCATCCAATAATAAATATGCAACCACAGTTAAGACCATTCGGAGTTAAAATAGTGGGAAAGGAAAAAGGTTTTCACCTGGTGCCAAAAAGAAAGAAGTGTTGGCGCCAGGAGGATCTCTCTGGGGAGCGTGTCCCACAGTCGGGGTGCCACCACAGAGAAGGCCCTGCTCCGGGTACTTGCCTGCCTAATCTCCTTCAAGCAGGGCTGCCAGAGCAGGGCCCCCTCCTCAGATCTCAAAGGGTGGGGGGCACATACAGGCGAAGGTGCTCCTTCAGGTAACCAGGACCCAAGCCGTTTAGGGCTTTATGGGTCATCACCAGCACCTTAAACTGGGCCTGGACTTCAATTGGTAGCCAGTATCCAGACTGTCTTCAAGGGCAGCCCCATGTAGAGTGCGTTACGATAATCCAGTCGGGAAGCTACCAGGCCGTAGGTCACTGACAGATTTCACGTTCTTGGTTTCAGGGAGCTGCTGGCAGGCACCCGAGGACTTGTCTATTACCTTCACGACGGGACGCGGGCAACGCACCAAACGGCCGCAGAGGTGAGCATCGCTTTCCCGGCCTCTTGGCTGGACGCTGCACTCCAGCTCTCCATCCCTGCCAGCCGGCGCTTGGCCGCAACGAAAGGACCGGCATTACGGTCCAGCTTGCTTGGGCATCTGCCGAGGAGCTCTGCTGTTGCACCTGGTTGTCCACGGCCTTCCCCAGGTGAGAGGGGAGGACAAGGTGCTGCCCCGGCTCTCAGCCTGTCGAGCCAGCGAGTGGGAACCACCACAGGTGACCAAGGTGATCTTCTCCAGAACCTGGAGCCTGCACGGTGGAGCTGCCAAGCCTAGCACCGGGAAAACCCTGGCCCAGCAAATCTTTTGGGGTCTTGGTCTCCCCATGATGTTGTCTGCGTCCATAAGTTTCTGGAGCATTGCACTGGGGTGGGGCTGGTAAAACACGAGCCGGGGAACGGTTGCATATGCAAACCCCCAGGAGCAGAATTCCACACAGGTCGGGGAGGAAGGAAGACGGAGCGGCCTCTTTGCAAGCCCGGTAGCACCTTGCCGCGTCCCTGGGAGTCTCGTCTTTGCTGCCCCCCTTGTCTGAGAGGGCAGACGCGCCAGCTCGGTCGTCTTTTCTCTTCTGTGTGTTTTAGGGCAACTGCTGTTACCGGGGCGATGTCGTGGGGTACCCCGATGGGTGGGCGAACATCTGTCTTTGCTCCGGTCTAAGGTACAAGGGCAGCCAGGATAAGAATGTGGGGGGAGGGGGGGCAAGGCGCTTGCTTCCCACACCGGGCATTCTCATTTTCCCTGGCTGGCACAGCGTTTATTTATTTATTCGATTTATATCCTGCCTTTTTCCTCAAAGGGCTCAAGGCAGCTCACATCATTCTCCTCCTCCATTTTATCCCCACAACAACAACGCTGTGAGGTAGGTTGGGCTAAGAGGCTGTGACTGGCCCAAAGGCACCCAGTGGGCTCCATGGCTGGGCGGGGACTTGAACCCAGATCGCCTGAGTCCCAGTCCCAGGCTCTGAACCACGATGCCATGCCAGCTTTGCTGGTGCTGACCACCTGCCTGACACCCTCAGACTTTACCTCCCATCAGGGTCAAGGTTTCAAGGTAGTCTGTCACGTCAAGAGGCTGTTGGCTTTTCTAGCTCTGGAACAGAAAAGAAGCAGTGATTGCAGTGGAATGGTTGGATGACCCCTGGGTTCTAGTCCTCATGAAACCCTGAAACTCCCTGGCTGACTTTGGATCATTTGCTCACCCTCAGCCTAACCTGTTGTTAGGATTACTACATTACATTTTTATCCCCTTTTTCCCTCTTGGGAAGAATCCAGGGTGGCTTACCTAGTTCCACTTTATCCTCACAACAACAGCCCTGTGAGGTAGGCTAGGCTGAGAGGGAGTGACTGGTCTAAAGTCACCCAAGGAGCTTTGGGGCTGGGTGGGGACTAGACCTCAAATCCCCCAGGTTCCCAGTCCAACACACTGGTTCTGACCCACCTCACAGGGTTGTTGTGAGGATATAATGGAGAGGAGGAAGTGGCAGGATAGGACTATGAAAGTGGAATTACTAACTACCAGTTATAGGGTTAACTATGGGTTGTTGAGTAACCCAGTCTGGGTTCAGACACCTCGTTGCAACCTCTGAATGGAGGTTGAATATTCAGAAAAATAGAGGAACCTGGTAGGTGCTGAGGCAAGAGGCAGGAGTAGATCACCTTGAAATGTTGTGGAGTACATCTCCCATCCTCCCCAGCCATTGTCCATTGAGCTGATGGGAGTTGTAGTCCAAAATCCTGGGAAGGCACCGAGTTTCCCACCCCTGATTCGAATGGTCTAAGAGCCAAAATAGGCCAAGAGCCACCAGTCTAAGACTCACTCTTTCTAGGTGGGGTTTCTCCTCAGCAAAAACTGTGGCTGGAGGTTATTTGCTTCCGCTTTCCTTTTCCCCCAGCGGCTTCCTTGTCGTGTCCAGCGACAGAAGCTACAGTCTCGAATCCAGCGACGAGGAGAGGACAAGGATCTACCGCCTCGAGGCCGTCCGGCAAGGGACGGGTGAATGCAAGGCTGTCTCCCTGTCGCAGGGCCAGCATCATCCGCAGAGAAAAGCAGAGCAAACGGTCCTACATAGGGTATGTCTGAATATCAGGGTCAGGCCTTTGGGGAATCCGGATGGCGCTGTCCGATGGTTGGAATCCGGGCCCTTCTGATTCAAGGCATGCTCATACGAGCATGAGAGCCTTCGGGCTATTAGGCAGTGTAAAAATGAAATAAACTTACATAGATACAGAGGAAAATGCTAGGGTGACTGAAGGGAAAGTCAGAATTCCAGCTTCTAGGAAAAAATGGCACCAAGAGCGTCTGCAAATCTTGGGGTGCCTCCCCTCCTTTTAAATGGGTGACCCTCTTTCAGCTACAGAAAGAACGGCACACACGGCTCAGAACCAGAGGGAATTCAAATCCTAGAACCGAAAGGGATCAGATGAAGGGGTTTCTTCACATGAGTGAAACTCTGGAACTCACTTCCACAGGATGTAACAACAGCCACCAATTTGAAGGGCTTTGAAAGGGGATTGGATGTATTCCTGGAAAAGAGGGTTTTCCGTGACTATCTAGTCCCGATGGCTATATGCCACCTCCAAGAAGAGGCAGTATGACAAACTGTACCAATTGCAGGGGAATTTGTGGAGTTAAATTTGCTTTAAGTACATAGAAGTAATAGAAGAAGTTCTGTCTGTCTGTCTGTCGATCAGCACCGTAGTGCCAAGACTGAAACTTCAACACCTGAAGCTTGGCATGCATATTCCAAATGTATTCCTGGAGGTTATTCTATTTATTTTATTTATTTATTAAAACATTTGTATGCTGCCCCATTCGCCGAAGCCTCGGGGCGGCTTACAACAATAAAATAATTATAATCTTAAATTAAAAATATAGACACTATGTTTAACACGTACATACTCATTCAAATCTATTTAATTTTGTGATCGAACGCTGTGGTAACAGCTTTAGTCATTAACTGGCAGACAAGAGAACGTGGAGTTTTTGCCCCATCGAAGTGAAGATTATTCCAAGCTGTAGGAACCCAAGTTCTCTGGTTTTTAAGAAGGGAATTTTAGCTAGTACCTGGAACTCCATCACATTCCATAAAACAGTGCCACCTTTTGGGGCATTACAGCTATTTTTTCCGATCCTTCTCCCCATGAATTTCAGTGGGTGGCCCCCAAGTCCTGTGCCAGAGGGAGCTGAAACTTTCTGTTTTCTCAACCCCGCACATAATGCTCCATTAATCCCCTGCTGTGCCTGAATTTCAAACTGTATTGCCTGTCACCGGCTACATTTCTGGGCTTCAGATTGTCCTGGCACTGTAACCCATGGATTTCTTCCGCTTTCCAGGCTAAACGAGAGACAGAACCGGAGCATGGATATGTGGAACTGGTGATAGTGGCCAACCTGGCCGAGGTGAGTGCTTACCTTCTTCGCCTCCCCCCTCCCACCACAGTGCCTGGCCACCCCCTCCGATCCCCCCCTTTTTAATTTCTCAGCAAGAACCTAAAGGAGAACCAGATTTGTATTTTATCTAAGGAGGGACACTCCCAATACTTTGAAATTGCTGGATCTCCATAGGAACGCTTCCCCACCCAGGACTAGTGTCTTTGCTGGGATTACAAGCTCTGGATTTTTGCTGCCCCCATCAAGGAACAGATCAGTGGGAGGATTCCCAGTGAAATGTCCCTTAGGGTTAAACCTTCCCCCGTAAGAAATCCGTGCTGACTTCCCCAGTCCCCAGATACACCGGGCAGAATTTCCGAATTTCCCAGTGTGAGCACAGCTGGTGGAAAGCTGGCTCAGCCACTCGGTATCCCCGACAGCTCTTTCTGTTTTCAGTTCAAGTTGGATCCTGACATCAACCGGACGCAGATACGGATGCTAGAAATTGTAAGCCACATGGACGGGGTGAGTATCCAGCCTTGCATATTTGCAGAGAATGTAGTCAATCAGCTCCGCAGAAACTTCCCTCCTTTTTTTTTTCCTTTGATTTATATCCTGCCTTTTTCCTACAAAGGGCTCAAGGTAGCTTACATCCTCCTCCTCCTCCATCTTATCCCCACAACAACAACCCTGTGAGGTAGGTTGGGCTGAGTCTGCGACTGGCCCAGAGTCACCCAGTGGGCTCCATGGCCGAGCGGGGACTCGAACCCGGATCGCCTGAGTCCCAGTCCCAGGCTCTGAACCACGACGCCACACTGGCTCTCCAGTTTTCTAAATTGGCAGACATTTAAATCGGTGCCTGTATAACCACTATTAAATATGGACAGCAGCTTGTCAAGCTATTAAATAAAAATATTTATTATTATTTATTATTATTAATTTTCTTACCATAAAATTTGAGCTACCTAGCATTTGCGCTGTGTGATGTGTGTGTGAACAATTGTGCTGTTTTGTCAACTTGATACAGGCAGGTTGGTTTGGAGTGCAGAGGTGGTGGATGTAACCTTTTGCATAAAGTCAAATTTTCTCTGCATTTTTCCCACTAATAAAATGTGTGGGTTTATGCCGTTTGTGTGGGGTTTGGGGTGGGAATAGGATTGGGTTGAAAATGGCTTGTGCAGATGTTAATTTTCCATCTCTACTCTATTTTCAAGGTGGAGTCGGGTTTGTTTTGTTTTGCTCAGTGGCTATTAGAATTGAATTAATGTATTTGTTTTACTTTAATGATCTGCACCCGTTGCAAGATTCTCACGGTGGATTCTAATTCTAATTCTAATTATGATTATTAATTGCACTTTTATCCTGCCTTGCTGCTTCCTGTAAGGAACCCAAGGCCGTGCTCAGGGTTTTCCGTTTCGCTTTAATGATGCAATCCTCAATGCCAAAGCCTTTTTGTACTCAGGTGCAAACCATCTGTTAGTTAGTGGTTGGAGCCGGTGTGTTCTTCCCGTCAGTTTTGCTATCTTAGCTGCTATTTTGACCGGAAGGTTCTTAGTGTCCAGGAGTTGGAGAATTAAGCCCCTGTACAGGGGCGTAGCTACGCCATGGTGGCCCAACCTCCGATCTCTTCCTGGATGTCCACTAGCGCCAGCGGAAGGGTGTTATTTTCCCTGCAGCCCTAATCACCCCACAGGGAGCAATTTTTATGGGGGATTCCAGGTGGGGAGGAAGATATTAACTCTTTCCTTCTCAAGTGCCAAAACTAGCTTCCCCCTGCGTCTTTCCCTTGCATGGCAATTAATCTTCGTGTAGGAGAGTGTATTCTCATCAGCTCTGGATGATGTGTATCCGGATGCAAATGAATTGAAGGATGCATTGATTTGAGATTATATCAGTGAGAAATGACTTGATTTCTCCAGTGACATTTAAAAAACTCTCCGTAATTGTTTTCTAAATTGGCAGACATTTAAATCGGTGCCAATATAACCACTATGAAATATGGACAGCAGCTTGTCAAGCTATTAAATAAAAATATTTATTATTATTTATTTATTTATAAAATTTGTGTCTGGATGGCTTACAACATTAATCAGAATAAAATAACTATTTCACGCTGGCTGAAAAACCAATAAAATACAAACAATAAAATCCAATTAATACATATTAAAATATTGATCAAATAAAAAGGTCTTGACCTGGCGCCGAAAACCTATAATGACAGCACCAGGTGGACCTCTCCAGGGAGCGCATTCCAAAAATAAATGCATGCAAATAAACGAATTAACCTCTACAGACTTGTGCATGAAATAAATATACGAGAACTCTTCAAAAAGTTTCCGCACTTTTAAAAACTCTATTTATTAAGAATTTCAAAAACAATTCACATCACTTTTCTACATCGTCGCCTTCCTTTGCGATGCCTTTTTCCCAGCGTTGTACCAACTTTTTAATGCCATCAGCAAAAAATATATGAAATAGATTTATAAAATATAAAAGTGCGGAAACTTTTTGAAGTTGTATAAATATATATGATCAGAATTGTAGCCTTAACAACCAGTACCTTTCTTTCCTCCTCTTCCTCCATCCCCACTTTCTTCCTTCCTTTACATGTTTCAATCTCTTTTCTTGGTATTTGTGAGCCCTTCTGGGAGACTTTTTGGCTAAATTGGGGGAAAGGCTGCTTTTAAGGACAGAATAAACATGATGCTTCAGATAGCCTATCTATTTTACCCTGTCCTACAACTCCCAAGCACTCTGGGCTGGCAGCGCTGTTCCCATTTCACGTCGCCAGGAATTCTGGGTCTTTCTTCTTTTGTGCCCCTCATTGCTCTTTCTGTGCCCCCTGCCTGCCCAGTTTTTTCGGACGCTGGACCTGCGGGTGGCATTTGTCGGCTGCGAGGTCTGGACCGACAGGGACCACGTGGCAACGAGCGGGCCTCTTCGGGAGGTGCTGGAGCGGTTCCTGCAGTGGAGGCAGAAGGAGCTGCTGCCCCGGATCCCCCACGACAACGCCCAGCTCATCATGTGAGGCGCTGCAGGGTTCGGGGCCGTGCTGGGGGCGGCCAGACACCCCAGGGAGGAGCAGGCGGGCAAGAGGCCGCCGCGGATCAAACTGGTCGTTCCAGCGCCCCGTTGGGGGCTCTCTGGTTCCTTTCCCTCTGGGGCTTGTGATCCAAGCCCCTGCAAGGAAGGCATCAAGGGCAGTGCTGAGGCCTGAAACGAAAGCCCCCGGGCCAAAACCCCGCAGGGATCCAACGCAGAGGATCATCGGGGCTCCCCAGAGATCTGGGGCTCCCAAGAAAAGGGTGGGCTGTCCACGGACACCACATCTGGGACCGCAGTGTGTTGGAAGAAGCTACTTCCGAGCAGGGTGGGTAAAAATATCCGTCTCCAGATGTTCTGGACTTCACCTCCCAGCATTCCTGGCTGCTGGCCCAGCTGGCAGGGGATTGATTTATTGATTTATGGCATTTATTAAAAACTTCTCTAACCCGTCCACTACAAACGTCTCGGAGCAGCTTACAATAAATGGGAGTATGGGGTCCGAAGTCCGGATCATCTGGAGATCTGCCCATCCTGGCTGTAGGAAGAAATGGGGCGGGGCTTCACCTGCAGTGGGTGGAGCCAAGGAGCGAGAGGTGTGGCCTGGCACATTTGTGGGTGGAGCTCTAGCCTCGGCTGGATTCACCAGTGCCTGCCTTTCGTTTGGAAGCCGGCGTGTCCCCGCTTAACTCTCTCTTCCCCTCCACCCCATAGCGGTTCCCCGTTCCGGGGCGGCTTGATCGGGGCCTCCACGCAGGGCTCCATCTGCTCCGGGCGCTCAGGTGGAGTCACCATGGTGAGTTTTCGCTCTCCGAGGGGAGACGCCACGGCAGAGCAGCCAGGCTGCAAGGCTCGGGTTCGAATCTTGCCATAAACTCACGGGGGGGCGGGCTGTGCAACCACACTGGCTTACCTCGCAGGGTTGTCGTAAAGAAAGTGTGACACGGGGAGAGGGTACGTGTCGCTCAGGCGCAGCCGCCAGCAAGGGAGACAATTTCCCGTTTTCTGGGAAGTGAGTTGGGTCTTGAGTGCTAAAGAGGTCAAATTCAGCTCGTCTTGAAGCGACATGTCGCTGTTTTGAGTGCCTTGCACCCACTAGGGCTGGATTTCGCTTTGGGACACGTTAAATGCCACCTGTTTCACATCCTGTCCTGCTGGTTCCCACTCCCCCAAAAAACAGATTTTCCTTTTTATGTTTTTGCTGGCCCCTGGGTCCTCCTGGAACTTTCTCTGCTCAGAGTCACTGCAGCAGCTTGGCTCCCACTTGGACGCCGTGCTTTGAGCGTCGCTACCTGAGAAGAGAAATCAGCTGGGATTTAGGGGTTATTACTTGGTATAGACAACTTGGCGCCTCCCAGCTGGCTGGGGGTGATGGGAGTTGTAGCACAGAGTATCCAGACTGCACCGTGTTGTTCACACTTCTTTTTGATGTTTGAGCCACACTGCAAAAGGGAGAAGGGACTTTTTGGAAGGGGGAGCAGACCTTGGGCCATTTTTTGAAAATCAAGCTTCAATTGAACCCTTTCCCCCCAAATTACCCCTTCCCACATGCGATTCAGTTAAAAGTCTAGTAATCAGGATATGGGATGAGAAGTCTCCTCCATGGAAGTAGGGCCAGTGCTACAAAGGCCCGGCTTCAGTCCCCGGATCTCCTGGTGAGCTGGGCAAATCCTGGAAAATGTAGAATATACTGTGTGCAGTGGACCAGTGGCCTTACTCTCCTTACAGGGTTTCCTAACAGTGTTTCTGTGCAAATTCTGTTACTTGGAATCATGAGGACTAGAAACTTATCACTAGCTTTTCAATGCAAGGGCTCAGGGTCAGTCCCTTTCCTCGTTAGGTGGAGCTGGGAAGGACCTGCCCCCCATCTGCAACCCTGAGAGTTTCTGCTGCCTTTTGCTGTTGACCATCCAGGGTGGGGTGGACCAGGGGGTGGACTAGGGTCACAGCGGCCCTTCCCGGCTCACCGCCTCCTTTCTTCCAGGACTACTCCGTCAGCCCCTTGGCGATGGCCTCCGCGCTCTCCCACCAGCTCGGCCACAACCTCGGCCTCAACCACGACGGCGCTGGCTGCGGGTGCGACGGCTCCAGCCCGAAGCTGCCCCCGGGGCACAGCTGCATCATGGAGCCGCTGACCGGGTGAGTGCGACCGAGGGGCCGGCGGGGACCTCACACCCCTGCACCTTCAGGAGCGGCTCTCGGGCAGCCCGGTGCTGAGACTCCCCCCCCCCCCCCCCACTCGCTAGGATGACCCCCGGGCTGAGCTTCAGCAGCTGCAGCCAGTGGCGCATCGAGCAAGTCCTGCAGAGCGACCGGGCCTGGTGCCTGCGGGAGGAGCCGGATCCGGCCCGCCTCGTGGGCCCGTTCTGCGGCAACCGGATCGTGGAGTCCTCGGAAGAATGCGACTGCGGCCTGCGGCTGGTAGGAAGAAATCCACCCCCCCCCCCCCGGTCTGGTTTGCCTCAGACGCCCTTGCTCTGTGCATCTGCTTACACGGGTCGGCCCTGCGACAAAATGTTGCAGCGCAACCTGGTCCCGTTTGGTGCGCCGGTCGCAGCTCCTTGCGCGCCAGACGGTCCCATCCCAGCCCGCTTCCTGTGGCCAGGGAACAAGCGCCGTCTTTGCCCCCTGGCTTGGCGGTTCCCTAATCCTGTTCCTTTTTCCTTTTTGCAATTTTTCACATTGTGCTTATTTAATGTTTGTTTGTTACGTTTAAATTCCATTTCCTCCCGGGAACCCAAGATAGCGCCCATACACTCCTTCCAGTTTTATCCTCACAGCAACCGTGAGGTAGGCCAGAGACTGGCCCGGTGGCTCTCAAAATGGGGCAGGGACTAAACTGGGGATCTCCCCTGTCCTTAGCCCCAGCCCTATCACTTTAACCACTATACCGCACTGTCTCCCCCTCTGGCGTGTGGACGAAGCAGCTTTGCCTATACAGTGGCAGACTCAGAGGCAGAATCTCCATGAATACAAGCAGTAGCCCACTAGGCAGATTCAGTTGCCACGGGGTGCCTGGGGGAGCTTGGCGTCCTCTGGGGTGCAACCCAGAGCCCTCCCTAGTCCTCCTGGCTGTCTCAATCTAGTTCAGCTACTACTGGTGTAGACAAAACAGGAGTAAACGGGGTTGCTGCTGGCAGATCACCCGCCAGCAGGGCACCCCCTGCATTTTGGTGAGAGCCTGCCCCTGCTTTGCTCATCTCACTGCAGGCCAGTATCGCTCCACGCGCTCCCTCCCTCCGAGGATCTCACGCACCCTTGTCTCCTTTCTCCCTTCCAGGAGTGTGCGGACCCCTGTTGCAATGCAACCACCTGCAAGCTGATGCCCGGGGCGCAGTGTGCCACCGGGCAAGCCTGTTGCCACGAGTGCAAGGTAACGTCCCAGGCCAGAGGTGCATGCCAAGAGAGGCCAGAGGAGCATGCCAAGCGGAATGCTTTTCATATGCACGGCCCGCTTTCTGGGAAAGCATGCAGACACCTGTTTCTTGCAGGTGAACCCTAAATCTGGCCCCATAGGGATCCCAAGCAGCTGTCCCCACTTCTCTGGCCACCCATCATTGGATGGGGTTCTGCCTTTGATGGTTTCCTGCTCTTTCCCCCTCTTCTGACTGCCTTCAGCCATAAAACCATGAAGGTAAAATTTGCTGCTTTCCCTTTAGCTCTTAGCACCCGCCCCCAGCCCCAAAATGCAGCCTGGAAAACTTTGCTGAAATGGAATTTGGCCCTCAGGCCAGTGTATTTCATGGCATTCCTCTCCCAGTTTAGTCCCTGCAAGGAACCCAAACCAGCTTACCTCACTCTCCTCACTTTATCCTTTTCACAACGACCCTGTGAGGTAGGTTAGCTGAGACTCAGCCACGGATCCAGAGCTTCAGGACCAAGCAGGGACCAAAACCAGGAGATCTCCTATCCCAGCATTCAAACTCCTGGGCCACAGTGCCCTTTTACACTATCGGTGTGTAACGGGTGTTTGCGTGTGTGTGCACGTCCCCCTTGTAGATCCGCAGCGCTGGATTTGTCTGCCGGGAAGCCCAGAACGACTGCGACCTCCCGGAATTCTGCAGCGGGGTGTCCCCGCGCTGCCCCGCCAATTTCCACAAGCAGGATGGGACCCCGTGTGAGGAGGGGACGGCCGTCTGCTACAACGGGATCTGCCCCACTTACCTGAGCCAGTGTCAAGAATTTTGGGGCTCAGGTAAGCCGACATTTGGCCTGTTGGTCCGAGAGGGTCTGTGCCTGTGGAGCGGCTCATCCCAGTTGTGCTATCCTCTTTCCCGCCAGATTCGGTCCCTGTCTCGGATGCCTGTGTAGCTTCGCTGAACAGGAGAGGCGATGCGGAGGGTCACTGTGGGCAGCAGGCCAACGGCTCCTACATCCCATGTGCAAAAAGGTGAGCGCCACACCGGCATGGAATTAAACTTCATGTGAGAGGTCACTGGAAGGAGACATTCTGCTGATGCGTGAGGCCGAGGGCCCAGTGGTCCAGGCCAAAGGCAAAAGGAGAGGTTTAAAAATAATTTAAAAAACTTGATGCTCTTAGAGAGGAGTCCTGTGCCCCAAGAAAGCACCTGGCAAGATGCAGGATGCTTCAGTTTCCCGGATGCGAGATCTTAAAACAGGCCCAACCTCGGGTCCGACTCTCTTGCACACCTGCCTCAGCTGTGCGGAAAGAACTGCATCCTGCTGCATCTCCCCAGGCTGTGAGAACAACCTTGAAGAAGGATGAAGTGGGGGTTGTGGGAGCAACTGGGGGGATGAATTAAGGCCCCGGGTGCAGCACCCGGTGGCTCCCCAGCTTCCTTCCCTCCCCAAATCGTGTCAGGCTAAAATCCAGGCTGCCAGGAGAACCGAGGCTGTGATCACCTCCGACTTGCGAGCATCAGAGACTTCCGAGGGTCTCCATGGGGTTTCGCCCTTAGCCTAGCGGTGACTGAACTTTTGGGTTGACATACTCACCCCGTGTGAGAGGCTTTGCTGCCTGGGGAAGGGAGAAACTTAGAACTCTAAAATAACGTAAGATTCTAGTCCTCATGATGCTAGATCGGATGTTCAGGAGTGGGTAGAAAGTGACCGGCGGCGGCCCTGCTGCGTTTCAGGTAGGTTCTTGTTGAGGCCAACTTGGAGAGGCCAGGAATGGTCCTGGAACCTGGTGCGTACTAAGTGTCTTCTGCTGAGCATCCTTCATGTGTAAGCACGCATGGAACGCGTGAGATTCCCTCTCCTGAGCAATCCTGTGAACGCAGGAGAAGCAGAGAAGATGGACTTGAGAAGCAGAGGAACAGAGACTGCTTTTTCTTGTTTGGGTTTTCACAATTAAACACTGAGGACTAGAAGCTTAAATGAAGCATTAAGGGCAGCCAGGGTAACGACCGGCTCTTTCCGGCAGTGACGTGTGGTGTGGGCAACTCCAGTGCCAGGGCGGTGGCAGCGCCGGTGCCAAAAAACAGAACGGGAAGGCCCAGGGGCCGGCCTGCCTGCACAACACCCCAACGCCCGTCGCAGACGTCCTCGATCTGGCGATGGTGCTGCCCGGCACAGCCTGCGGCCCCAGCAAGGTGAGTAGGCCTGGGCGGGCGCAGGCGGCAGGAGTGAGGAATGAAGAGTTTTCGGCGCACGTGGCTCCGGAGACCGCCTGCCTTCGAACGCTTTTTCTGCTCCCCTCCGCCTGCAGGTCTGCGTCGAGAAGCGCTGTCGGCCCCTCTCCTCCTTGAAGCTGCCGGCGTGCCAGTGCAACGGACACGGGGTGAGCCGAGAGCACCCTCTGCAGAGAGGAAAGCAAAACCGGGGAGCGTGGCCAGCTGAAATCGGGAAAGAGGCAGAGCTTGCGGGACGCCCCCTCCCCAAAATCAGGTGGTCCGCTGGATTGTGTGTGGGGGAGGCAGGAATCTGGCCCCCGATCAGGCATCCCTAGATTTTGTGCCTGTGCAGCTCTCCCCGGACGCATTTCTGCTCCGTCGCTCACTTTCGTGCGGCGTCACCCAGCCTCGTTCCTTAAACATGCCACGCGTTTAGCACGGCTGGCTTTCTGCCAGGTCACGAGGCTCTGCGCTCTTCCCCTTCTTTCGTTGTCCCCAGGTCTGCAACAACGAAGGGCACTGCCATTGCCAGCCGGGCTGGGCGCCCCCGGATTGCCGGAGTGCCGGACTCGGGGGCAGCGTGGACGGTGGCTCCCCTGCCGCAGAGCAAGGTACCGGGGCAGGATAAGCGAGCCCAGATGGCAGGGCTGAAAGCAGAGCTGGGTGCTCTGGGGGGGATCCTGGATGGTGCCATTGTCACGGTTGTTGTTGTTGTTGTTGTTGTTATTATTATTATTATTATTATTATTATTATTAGAACATTTCTATGCCGCCCCTTGCCGAAGCCTCGGGGCGGCTTACAACACAATAAAATACAATCCAATACAAAAATAACGTTATAAAATTAAAATGAATAATATAAAATAAATAATACATACATACATATATATATATATATATATATATCCGATATAAAAGAAGTTATAAAAGAAAAGAAAAGAAGTCTCCCTGGCCAGATAAATAAGTAAATATTGTTAACAATTAAAATGACGTTTAAATAAAAAGGTGTTTAGGGACAAAAAGAAATGCTAGAAGCCGGGGGTCAGACTAGATGGCCCAGGAGCCCCCTTCTGACGCGCTCCATTGCGATGTTTCTGGGAAGCATTTGAAATACGGCTTTCTCCGAGGATGCCCCGAATGACCTGGGCTGAGAGGATGCCCCACAAAACGTGTGGCATAGAATGGAATGATAAAACCCCTGAAACACAAATGCCAGAATCGTTTGGCCATGGAAGGAGAAATTAAAAGTGTGGACCCCTGTGTAGGCTCTGATGGGGGCCTGTGGCACAGCCCTTGTGGTGTTGCGGCACTTGGGTCCTGCAAACTTTGCGTCAGTCGTTCGCAGAGGCAGAAACTTCCTGCCTGCCTACCTGCCATCTTCGATTGTCTTCGTAGATAAATAGACAGTGAATACACCGTCCTCCCACACTCTCTTTCTCTTCCCTCCTCTATCTACCATACGCACGCACAATTTGAGTCCCAAATCTACCCCCCCCACCCCAATAGATAATCCTATTTCCAAACTGGTGGAAGGGGTAGGAATTTCCTTCCAGGGGCAGGTGGCTTCTTTTGTTCCGAACGCCTCAAGAAAGATCTCCAGGTATTCCCTAACCCTTCACTCCCATTAAGAAGTGCCCACCCACCCCCCTGCCCTGGGACCGTTAACCCAACTGACCAGCGAAAGGAATGGCCCAGGAGGAAGCACTTAATTGCTAGCAGCCCCTTTATTTCTTTCAAGCCTCTTTTTCTCTGCTTTTCAGCCCCTAGGGTGGCTTCTGGGTGGATGAAAAGCCCAAGGCAGCCCTTGCCCTGAGGCTCACATTTGGAAAAAGACATAGCACAAAAGGAATAAGGGGTCTGGAAGGAAAAGGAAAGCAAGAGAACACACGTTCTTAGAGTGCTGTCATTTTCACTGTTATTTTCTTCTTCTTCTTGCTGCTATGTTACTTACATATAATGAATTGTATATATTAAATTTATATATAAATTTTATATTATATTCATTATATGTATATATATAATGAATGAATCAGTATATAATGAAATACTTATATATAATTCAATATATATATTGAATACATATAATCAATAATATGTATTATTGATCACCATCTGCAATCGATCAGGGATTTTATCTAGTACCTCTGTGCTGAACATATGCTTTCCATACAATTCCGAAGGATTAAAAACTGTGAAATGAAATGCATGAAACATTGGCTGAATTCACACAACAGGACAAGGCAGAAGGCAGGTTGAGTGTTGGGTTCTTGCCAAACCGCAGGCGGTGAACCCAGCTGCTTGAACAAACCAGGGCTTGTTAAGTACACACAACCCACAGTTCATCACCCAACGAAACGAAAAGGGGCTCTCTTGGTGGGTTGGCCGTGGTTCTGAAACTGGTTTGTAAATGCAACTGGGGGCTTCCAAGCCGACAACCTCGGATTCAGCCGCACCCTGCAATCCGTCTTGGCATATCACATTGTGTTGCTGCTAAGTGACGCTGGGAGGGGAGGGGAGGGGAGGGGAGGGGAGGGGAGGCATTAGGGGGACGAGGAAGAGAAGAACGAACGAATGAGAAGGGAGAGTAGCAACCCTCTCCAGAGGAAGGCATAAATGCCAGCACATTTTCTTTCTGGGATGCTCAGAGTGGGAGCTGAAGTCTAGGACATGCGCAGCGCATGCTTGATTCTGGGCACAAGGCGTCTTTTGTGATGGGACCGGAGGACATTCCTCCCCGTCCTCGGAGAGCACGCCGGCTGGGGCCGCTCGCTCCTCCTGGCACGGACTAACGTGCCGGCTCGGCCGCCGCCGCCTCCTTTCCCAGCTGGCACCGCCACCTCGACCGCCCTCCTGCTGACAGCCCTCTCCCTCGCCCTGGTCCTCGCCGTCGGATTCTGCTGCGCCAGGCGGGTCGGCCTCTACAAGCGTCTCTGCCAGTTCAGCAAAGGCACGAGCTGCCAGTACAGGTGAGGCCTGGACTTCCCCTCCTCGCCATTCGCCGACGGCTCTGCTTCCCACGGGCCTGGACGCTTTTCCTTGCAGGCCTGGCTCTCCCTCTTCCGCGGGACATCCTGCGCCCCATCGCTCTGCTCGCTCACTGCCTCCCGAAGCTGCGTTTGTTTGATGTCCCTTCCCGTTTTTCCTGCCCTCCATCTTTCCTCCCCTTGCTGTTTTGATGCTTGCTCGCCCTTCCCAGAGCACCCTCCACTGAAACTTAAGCCATCTCGGACTTTGCTGTTCGTTAAATGTATATCACACCTTTTCCTCTCGCAGGCACCTGCTCTCCTTCCACTCTCCGTTTTTAAACTATCGATTGATTACATGCAGATCGCACCTTTTTTCTTTTAAAGAACTCAAAGCAGTTGTCCTGGTCCCATGTGGTAGATTAAACAAAGCCAGTGACTGTCCCGGAGTCACCCAGTGAAGTTGCATGGCCCTGTCGGGACTGGAATCGGGATCTCCGGAGTCCCACTCCAGCACTCTAACCACTAGGCCACACTGTCTGTTCTTCCTCCTCGTGCACTGCAGTGCAACACTAACTTTGCTCCCCTCACCCTGCAGAAATGAGGCAGAGTCGCGGGTGCGATTTATCCGTCCGGCTGAACCAAGAGGGTAATGTGGCTGCTACCGGAGCAGCTTGTCTCTCGTGTGTACAGACCTGTGTTTTTAATCCATGGTGCTGTCCTCCTTGGCTGCTTTTGGTATTTAACACTGTAAGGAAAGATTTTGGTGGCGGTTTCTACTCTGCTCTGACCGGTGATGCTGTGCTTTCCTGTCGCTTCTGCAAACGTTGGGTTTGCCCCTCTACTTTGCTCTCTTCGACCTTTTCTCGGTGGGATCAGGTGTCTGGAAAAATGTGCGGCATGCGCAGAGCCTCTCCGGAGAGCATGAAACCTCAGTTCCACGGCCAGAACAGTCCTTGGCTCTTGTATTGTGTGGCAGCAGCTTCTAGAGGCGTGCAGCGATGGGGTGGCCCGCGGAAGCCGTCCCGGTGGGGACGAAGAGGCAGGATGCGGAACGTCCTGCAGCCCGAGGGCCGGACTCCGCTGCGGGAAAGCTCCCGGGGGCCGCGGCCCAGGGGTGGGCGGAGCCGCAGGCAAAGGAGGTGGAGCCACAGTTGGCCCCTATTGCCACTGGATGCTTTCTGAACTAAGCCTGAAGAGGGGCGTTTCACCCTTTGGGAGTGGGGGAAGAAAAGTTCCCCATGACCCCAGTGCGGGGTTGTTCGGAGAAAGGGGTGGGGCATGAAGAGCGGCTGCATGGCTTTCCAGGGACCTCCAGAAGGCCGGGAACGCGGAAGGCTGTGCTTGGCTCTGGGATCGGGCGTTGCGCTTCTCTGGTGAAGCGGGATCTGTGCAGCGGCCAGATTTCGGGCTTGCTGGTGTGTGTGATTTGCTCGGTTGCCGAAGCTCTCCGATGGAACGCTCGCCCCGGGATGCAGGCCGAGGCTCAGCGTGTCTTTCCCCTTCCGCCAGGATCACGCAGCCGGAAGGCCAGAGCTACAGTCACGCCCCTCCAGAGCGCCCGCGTCCCCCACGGTGGAGGCCGAACACCGAAATGCAGCTTGTGCCAAGCTCTAAGGTAAGTGGACAGGTGAGCAAACGTCACCCACCTTGCGCGCACACACACACCCCCAAACACAAGCACATGCCTCAGTGTTTTTCCAGGCCCGCACCTAGCGGGGTTTCTGTGTTTTTATTGTAGGTATTTAAGGCTGAAATGAAAATTGGGATGCAAAGTTTAAAAAAAATCCCACTGAAATGTTGGCAGTGCGTTCTTTTGAATACACAGAAAGCAGATTTTCAAGGTTGGAAAGGTTTAAATGCAGATTTTAAATGTGAGACATCTCCCCACTTTTTTATTAACTTGGAGCAACAGATTATTCTGTTCAACTGAATTATGCCCGTGATGTGTCACCTTTCTCCAAATATAATCTGGCGGAGGAAGGTTACACAGGTACAAATGAAGGCGGAATGTCATGGTCAGGGACTCCCAGGGCCGGTCCTGGCATTGAGCAGAATGAGGCAGCTGCCTTTGGGGAGAGAAGCTAAAGGCGTGAGAAACGGGCAGTAAGGAGGTCGGAGAAATTTGCAAAGGATTCCCATCAGTTTAGATTCCCATGAAACTGACACGCCGATTCTTTTCTGAGCCAGGCGGCCTTGCAGGCTCGTCGCTCACTTTTGTGGGGGTGGATTTCCATGGATCGGCATTTAATGCAATGAGAGCTCATGGAAATTTGTGGAAAGGTACGTTAGGACCAGTGCCGGTTGGTGCCGATAGAATGAAAATGGGTGTAAAACATGAATATTTAAGTCAACGGGCATGGAAGCAAGGGCTCTTGACAACCCGCAACACTCAGATGGGGTGGATTTAGCAAACCCGGAGCCGGGAGGCTTCCTCCTGTCCCCCGGCTCAGTCCACCGCTCCCGGATTTGGTCCCTTCGCCAGCATCGGAGGAAGGCTCAGCTTGCGCCCTGGCCTGCTTTTTTGTGCATGGAGGGGGTGCGGGGGGCTGGCGGGTTTCCTCTTGGACCACCACGAGCGAACTGTGCCTACCAGGCTTTCAAACCAGGCAGATGGTTTTTTATGTGTTTGCTTTCTGGAATTTTGCACCCTTTCCCTCCAAGGCTGCTGATCAGATCGTTGTTTCCATTCTGCCAATTGTTGTATGCGTGTGTATTACAAATCCACGTGTATGTATCTTGGATATACATTGATAAACGTGGAGGCATGCTTGATACGTGTGCGTGTGCACGCATACACACATGGCATGGTATAGAGACATTCTGAATTTAAAGACATTTGTGTGTGCGTCTGTGCGAAAATGCCCGTGTTGGCTGCCATTTGGACTCCTGTGTGTGTTTCCCGGCCTGTTGCTTTTGGTGATGGGCGAGCACGAGGGCCATTGCCATGGCTGATGGGGGCGTGGCCTGGGTTGCCGCTGAAGGAGGTGGGGCTTGGGCGTGGTTGCTAGGGGTGCCTGGGGGCGTGGCCTGGGTTGCCGCTGAAGGAGGTGGGGCTTGGGTGTGGTTGCTAGGGGTGATGGGGCGTGGCCTGGGTTGCCGCTGAAGGAGGTGGGGCTTGGGCGTGGTTGCTAGGGGTGCCTGGGGGCATGGCCTGGGTTGCCACTGAAGGAGGTGGGGCTTGGGCGTGGTTGCTATAAGTGACTGGGCAGTTGCCCTTAGCAACCGGTTCTGTCCACTCTGGGGTCCATCCCATGGGATGCAGCCCGGGAAAACGAGCAGATGCAGGACCAGCCGCCTGGGGGAGGAAAAGGCCCTTATGTAGAAAAACCATTGACTGCTTTTGCACCAGAGCAAAATTTCGGTTCCTTACAAGAGATGGGGTATAAATGCAGTATATGAAATAAAAAACATTCAACCTGAAAGAAGGAGGAATCTGTTAGACTGAGTAACTGCTGAAAGATAAATTGCTTTTCTTATTGTCACTGAACTTATTTTAATAATGTATTTTAAGTAGTGCTCTTCAGCAGGGTATTTTCATGCTATGATTTTAATTTTGTTATACGTAAACCATTCCGGGATTTTAATATATTAATTGGGATAATAAAAGTATGAATGAATAAAGGATTGGTGGGGAGTCGGATTAAATAAGATTCCTTGATGAGCCTAGAGGTAGCCATCTGTTGCTGTTTTAAGGAGACAGGGAAGAACGGGGCTGGTTGAACCTGTCTCTCCTGAAACCAATGCGGTAAATCTGCCCTTGGACCCAGGATCTTGCAGCGCATCCTCACTCACAGGAGGCACCCTTCTTTTGGCCAGCCCTGCCCTCCTCCAAAATACTCCATTCCATTCCTCATATCTTTCTTTAAAAAAAAACAAAGCAGCTACTCTATGTTTCATAGCTAACGAGCTCGTTCGTGCTCAGCCCACATCAGATGGTAGAACTGGACAATTGGTCCCCGAGGTTCTTTTTATAATATACTTCTGCTAATCTCAGTTTCCCTCGGGCAAACGGCTTTTGTTTCTCAGCGGCCCCATTTCTGCTACATATTCGTCGGCGCTCGGGCCCAGAAGTGTCTGTTAGAAGGAGCAGTTAATGTGCAGTAATAGGGATATATTTGAAGATAAAATGCAAGAAGGAAGTATGGTTTTTTCCACTGGCACCAGGTTATGCCTCTGCGATACGGCAAAGGGAACCTGTGCAGGCCGAGACGGGCATCTGGCCGTCCGGGATGGCGATTGGGAGGAAAGGTGCCAGCCGTACATCCCCAACTGCCAGAAAGCCCTGCTGGTTTCTGAGTCCTTCCTCATGATCAAGTTCAACAAGCCCCCCTTTTTGCAACCCTGAGAGCTAGAAACATGAGTTTTAAGCCAAAACCTAAAAAGAACCTGACAAACGGGGGCACAGTATCTCCACGTTTTCTGACTTGTCCCTTTTCTCCTCCCTCACAAACCCTGGACCTAATATTTCAATTCTAATTAATGGGGGTGACCTTGAGACCCCTTCCTTAATTTGTGGACCCCCCCCATTTCCAAGCGACAGCGGAGGCGGCTGTTTTGGGATACCTGGTGGGGACTTGGGGCTACAAACACGCCAAGCTCTTCTGTGAGCGAGCAAAGCGGGAACCGATTCCAGGACTGTCTCGGGGTTTGGATCGCGTCCGTGCAGACATGCAATCTGGGGCTCCCCTGCGTGTCCCCCTTTCCTCTCCTCGCGGCGCATGCTGCATGTTCCCCTACAAGGACACACGCCCTCTGCTCGCATGCCAGGAGCTGGATCGATGACCCCTCTTGCCCCCGGTCTCTCTCTCTCTCTCTCTCTGCCCCCCTCACTTCTCGCGGCTCTCCTTCCGTCCGCTACAGCCAGCTGCTGCTCTCGATGCCCCGTGGCCCAAGCCACCGTCCAAGCCTCTTCCGCCTGACCCCATCCCAAAGAGTCAACAGGTAACGAGGCCGGGAGGGGAGGGGAGGGGAAGAGGGGAGGGGAGGGGAGGGGAAGGAAGGGGGCCCCAGTAACACCCTCTTACGGCTGTTGCATGTTTCTTGCTGGTTTGTGCCTGGACTTACAAGGTCGGGGGTGGGAGGACTTCCCAGCCCTGCTTCCCAAATTCTTTTAACTGTAGTTAGACCTGGGATGGAGTCGTGGATCTTCGGTGCCCAAGCCCTGAGCTCTGCAACGGAGCTGTGTGGCCTTTGCCTTAATAATGAAGATTCCAGTCCTCATGGTTCTGAAGGAGGGGCCGATTCACATCCTGAGTTAGAGTCCCGGCCCATCCAGCTCCATATTGTTTACCCGCTGACCTAGAAATGCTGGACGGCAAGTCTGGAGTGTTTTGCTCTTCCACTCCGCAGGATGGCCCTTCCCCTGAAAAGAACACAAGAGTCTAGTCCTCATGGGTTCTGCCTATGACTAATTTATACAGGGACTCAAACCTTGGTCCGTATAGCCCAGCTTGTCAGCACAGATGTGCAAAAGGTCCCCTCGCAACCCTACCAGGAGGTGCGACACGTCACATCGCGGACTGTCTGTGCGGCAGCTTCTCCCAGCCCTGCCTGCAGATGAGGAGGCACCAAAGGGAGCGTTTGTCTCTGGCCCCGACTGCTTCTAGGCGCCCCCACTAACATACGCCCCCCCGTCTTGGTCTTCGCCCAGCATGTGTTCTCTGTTACCCCCCCTGCTTTCTCTGCCCAGACCTTGGCCGCGGACAGGCCTGCGCCCCCCACCCGCCCGTTGCCTGCCGATCCCATTCCCAAAAGCGCTCAGGTAACGGCCGTTGCGCCATTCCTGGTGGGGGGGGGGACTCCGTTCCTGGGGGAGGGGAGGCCGAGGCCGACGGGGTCGCCGTGGGAAGCTCGGGGAGGGGGACGTCTCCGTGCCCTGGCTGAGGCGGGGGGGAGAGCGCGAGGACCGGCGATGCTCACCCGGGCGTCTCTCTCCTTCCTCCGTCGCCTGCACAGCCCCGCAGTGCCGCCAGGCCTTTGCCTCCCCGGAAGCCGCTGCCTTCGGACCCCCCCCGGGCCGAGACAGGTGCCGCCCCCGGCTGCAGTCCTCAGGTCCAGATGCTGCCATCCAGGTGAGGGACAGGCAGGTGCGAACACCTGTGCTCTGCCAACCCCATGGTCGCGCGCTTTCTTTCCGGGGTGCAGGAAGCTGGAAGGAGGGGTGCCGCGGAAATGGATGCTTCCCACATCCTGGGAGTGACGATGCCTGATATTCTCTCTCTCTCTCTCTCTCTCTCTCTCTCTCTCTCTCTCTCTCTCTCTCACACACACACATTTCTTCTCTTACCAACTTTTTGGGGGGTGTGGATTTTATCGAAAGCGTTGCCGGCCAGCTCTCCAGCCTCGCGCAGTGCCGGAAATGCAGCCCTTCAAAACAGGGCACTCTAAGGACTCAGAGCGCAAGGACAGAGGGTCGGGGAGGGGAAAAGCCCCTGGGTTTGTGCTTTCTGCAACGGGGCAGCCCGTTTGGAAGAGGCAGCCAGCAACTCCAGAAGGGCACAGTGCCACCTCCGACCCTTCTCTCTCTCTCTCTCTCTGCCCCCCGCAGGCCAGCTCCACCACCGCCTCCTGCAGCCTCCGGCTCTTCAACGCACGTTCACAAGATCTGACCCGGCCTGCCAGGCTGAAGGCTCCAAGCCTGCCTCTCTCCGGCCGGACCAGCCGGCAGGGACGACGGCCGCCGTTTCTCAGCACTGGCTTTGACGGCTTCGGGTGTGGATTTCGTGGCGGTCTCTGGGCCTCCCTGGCGAGGTCGGTGTGGGAGCCTCTCCTGCACCTCTGCCTCTTCCCCTGACCGGGCGTCACACTCCGTAACTTGGCCGAAGCACTGCCACAGCGGCTCGCAATTCCTCTGCCCGGCGCCGGCTTTGAATCGGGACACAGGGAATTCTGGGAAAGTCTTTGCACTGGGAATGAAGGGACGAGAGCCCTGGATGACGTGTGCATGCTCGCGTGTGTGTTTGTGTGTGAGTGAGAGAGAGAGAGAGGACAAGGGCGCGTGTTGCGAGTGTGTGAGGGAGGCCATTCCCAAAGCCCAAAATTTGGGGGTTAGGGCTTGAGGCAACTTTTTCTGCATAAAAACAAACATCTCCATTTCTTTCTGTGCCTCTTGCTTTTGAACACTTTATCCTGGATGGGGAATGCCTGCCCATAATAAATAATGTTCATTTATTCTCCTCCTCTTTGCTTTCTGGAAGGAACTCAAGGCAGCGTGCCTGGTGGTCGCCGTCTCTGTTTTCTCTTCACAACATCCCAGTGAGGTAGATTTGGCCAAGACTCGGTGCCTGGATCGTGGTGAACGCTGCGGCCGACCCGATGTCCTCGGCCCTAGTCCAACCCTCGGACCTCAGGGGTCCGGTGAGGATCGAGCACCATGGAAGTAGCTAAAAGAAAGGCACTTTGCTCCTTGTGGAGCTGTTAAAAATCCCAGAGGTCTGGTCCTAACAGCTCTGGAATTATTTTAATTTCTGTATTTCCATATTTCATTGCTTTTCCTGCAAAGGAACCGATGTGTAATCCTCGTCTTTGGCTTCTAACACCTGCTCTTCTATGCTTTCTTCTCCATTCTTTTTTTTTTCTATTTCATCTCCGTTCTTTTCCTGCTTCCTTCATCAGAATCTTTCCACAACAGCATCTGCCTTTTTTAGTTCATTAGAAAAACTTCATGTGTTGTAACCCCATCATAAAGTTACGTGTGCCCCCCCCCCCCCAGTGCATAAATTCCAGGGCAGTAGAGTTTTTTGGTGCTTTGCAATGCTTTCCTTTGATTTTAGACCGGCGGATGGAGGGTAGGGGAAAGCCAGCGTGTCCTCGTGGTCTCTGGGACTCGGGAGACACCATTTCCTGGACACCTGGAGCTCACTTTGGGTCCGCCACTGACTCCCAGCCTCACCTGCCACGAAGGGTGGCTTTGAGGAGCTTGGCAAGTCCCCTTGGGGTTCCTTGTAGGAGACAAAGGGGGGCAGAAATGTGATACATTGAAGTGCCCCACAGTGGCAGCGTTCCGGAGGGTGGGAAGCCCTCGATAAAGCCCCTTCATTGGGCTTCTGCTGGGATACCCAAACCTTAGCGCTGGCCCTGATTGGTTGCTCCGGATCAAAACCGGCACCCTGAAATGGCGCTTCCTTGCACAGGCTGGATTTCACCCCTCCCATTTGCAAGAAACAGTCTTTCCTTCAACACAGATCTGGTGCCAGTGATGGAAATCCATAAATATATTTCAGATTGTGTGAATATATATATGGATTGGAAGCATTTTTTTGCCTCTGCTCAGCCGGGAGGACATCCAAAGCCTCTTAGGTACAATCCATCAAACCGGACAATCGCCATCTACAGCTCACAATCTCAAAAGACACGGCACGCAAGGAACAAGGAACGGGGAGGGAAGAGGGGAAACAGCGATTTCGGCAGAGCTGGAGGCATGGCTGGAGGCAACCCCTGAGCACAACGCGTTGCACCCGCTTCAACCCGGACCGGAATTCAACATTTCAGAAAATGGCCAGTTTCTGTTTGGACCGGCTCTGTCCAGGTCAGCCGTGTGTGGAACCCAGGCAGAAGTTCAGAGATCCAAGGCATCCAGCTCTCCATGGACTCTCCTGGCATTTCCGAAACGGCTGTATTTTCCTCCCACCATCTTCGCTGCAGCCACAGAAGTGCCTAGAGAAGGAAGAACCAGATGGGTACGGCTGTGCACCTCCTGGATGTTGATATTACTCACTTGCATGTCCTAATGCATGTTAGAAGATCTATTACTGCTTTCTCCTGCCAAGGGGTAATCGGGTTAGCCTGCGTTGTGGCAAAGACAACAAAAATTCTTCTGTCGGGGCCTGGAAGACAAATTTATCTGAGCTCGCGTTTTCGTGAGCTTCAGCCCACTTCATCAGATGCACGCCGTTTGCCAAGACTGATAGCTTTTCACTCCGTTTTGCTAAATTGGGTGTCTCTGATTAAATTTACGCCATAAGTAATGTGCTGTCTTTAATTTAGGGCCACGGGGTCTTGACTGCTTTTGCTTCCCATCCTCTTTGCAGGCTTTTCTTTTGCACAGAAGTGCTGGAAAATCTGCCTTGTGTGTATTAATGACATGCAAAGCCCCTCTGTACCCTTTGATCCTCCTGGAGCAATTTGGAACGGCCTAGAGGGAAAATGCACAATTGATTTTTTCAATAATTCTGAAAAAATGGGGATTAGTTCCACCACCCTGTCCCAGCCCTGTATCACTGCATCCATAAGGAACCCCAGAAGAGCTATCTGGGATTGGGATCAGAGTCCAGTGTCCTGTTTCTTGCAAGGACAAGCCGGAGAACTCTTGGGAAACCCATGCTCTGGGTTGCCAGCAAAAGCAGGCAACTGAGAATTTGTCTGATACTTTTTTAAAGCCATCTACGGTGGCACCCACTGAAAAATCGCATTCCCCTAGAAGGCCGGCTGCTTTTCCTCCCCCATCTACCCGTGTGTGTTTTCCTGGGTTTTGTGCCACTTTGCCCACTGTTTCATTGGCTGACCTTTTAGCCCTTCACCAGGGGTGGGGGGATCTGCAGAAACGCTGGACAAGCATCAAACGGTTGCAGGGAAGCAGGTGGGCTAGGAAAGGAGGGATGGATTGGGGAGGGTCAGGCGTGGGGCCTGCTAAAGCTTCTGCACCCCTGTGCAAAGCAGGAAGGCATTCCAGGGGGAGCAGGTCGAAATGCGTTTGCATCCACACCTGGAGTAGACACGCCTGCCCTTGACTGTGTGTGTTTGATCACTTTTTGTCGCACTTTGCTGCTACAAAGAGCATTCGAGGCAAATGGTGATGGGGAGATTGCAGATGGAAATAAAGGATCGGAATTAAAAAGCAAATCCATGCATGCTGCAGGGCTCGGGGGTAGCCACTGGAGGGCACCCGAGTTTCAGGGTTTAATCGGAATAAGGAGGTGGCAGTTCGTCGTATTAGCTGCAGGACACTCTAGATCCACCGCTGAAGGTCTTAAGCGGCTCACACACCAGCGGGGGGCAGTTCGCAGCAGTGGACACAGGAGGGCGCTCCCGCTCCGCGCAGGCGTTTTAATACAGCGGAAGGGGCGGGGCGGGCTGCAGGGCGCAGCACTGGCCGCAGGAGGGCAGCCGCGCTCCACCGCCGCGACCTTGGCTGGGCGACTGGGTGAGTGAGGGGCCGACAAGAACGCGAAATGGGGGGGTGGGGGGTGGGCAGGCCTGTTAGAGCGTCGAGCTAGGAGCTTTGTGCGAGTGTTGCAGTTTTGGGCCTGGCCCGGTCTGCGGTCTTAGCCCAGCAACTAAGAGGAGCAGGTGGCGGGGCTCAGCGCCTGAGGCTCTTGCAGGAGAAGTGGTGCTGCATCCTCTTAGTGTGTTTGTTGTGCTTCCCGAAAGAGCTGTACAGGCAAGATGTAGTTTTTTTGCATCGTAAACTCCATGTGGGGAAATAGGAGTGAGGGGACAAAGAGGAAGTGAAATGGGAGGGCTGGTTAGTCCTGTTAGAGTGTCGAGCTAGGAGTTTTGCGTAAGTGTGGCAGTTTTGGGCCTGGCCCGGTCAGCGGTCTTAGCACAGCAACTCAGATGAGCAGGTGGCGGGGCTCAGCACCTGAGGCGTATCCCTTAATTGGCTACCAGAAACCGGGAGGCGGCAATTCGTAATATTGGCCACAGGAGGGCACTCGAGATCCGCCGCTGGAGCGCTTAAGCGGGCCAACGGGCTCAGCAGGGCGCAGTTCACCGCAGCGGCCTTGGCTGGGCAATGGGGCCGGGCCGCTCGGGTCCAGCGGACGAGTCGGGTTAGTCTGATTAAAAGCCCCTTTGGTTGCCGACAGAAGGGGGGGGGGGGAGGCATGGACTTGGCTTGGTCTGGCTGACCTGGGAGTTGCAGTGTGTGGGGGCAGCCACGGAGTAGGCCTGGTCTTGTGCTCATGCAAAAGTAAGTCTCTTCAATGGTAGTAAGAGAAAGAGCAGGGTCTTTGCTGAGGATTTAAAAAGCAGAGCAGCCTTTTATGGGAGAATGCCGTTCCCTAAATAAGCCCTCATCCTTCCGTAAGGATGCATTTCCTCTAAATTCCCTTCCCCAACATGGTGCCCTGCAGGTGCGTGGGACTCCAAGTCCCATCGTTCCAAGCAGCTGGATTGATTACCCACACCACCTGGGGATGGAGCCAACATTCCCAAGGGGTGCCCAGTTGCTTTGATTCCAAGAGTGCAACAGCAAGTCTCGTGTTGGCCAAACTTTGTTGGCGTCAGCTTTGAAGTTTCACAGGGCTCTTGGCCTGTCAGAGAAGAAAAATGATTCTCTACGCTGGAATCCTACCCAGCAGTGCTTTCATTGCGGAGGCCTGGCACGCGGCAAATTTTTAATTGTCCGTAATTCATACGCACAGCGGCAAAACTGGGCTCGGGCCAAGCTAGAGCTGAATCCAAGCCTCCTATAGAAACCTCCGAAAAAGGCCTGGAAGGCCCACGAAATACCGGAGAAGCAACTGGAGAGATCAAATCCACACAGGCTGTCCAGTGGCTGCTTTTGAGTCACAGAAGACCCCTCAACGGAGAAGAGGGAGAAAGCAGGGCACATAACTTGCATGAAATAGGCAGGGGCTGATTTCTGTTTATTGATGCAGACTTAGTAATCGCTGTAATTTAAATAAAAATGCAGGGCATTTCAGTCTAGTGTGGAAGACTACGACCAGGTGCCAACTGGTACAGGGCAGCTATTAAAGAGTTTTGTAGTCCTTGAATCAGGACTGGGCAGTGCAGGCCTTCAGAGAGAGGAGCGACCTCTGCAAGACAGGGCTTATGACCACCAGTGTGAAATCGGGGAGGGCCCCTTGCGGTCCTGCAAACTTCCTTCATCCTTCATGGCTAGCAGTCCGGCCAGGGATGATGGGACCCAGAGGCCAAGGGCGTGAAGGGCTGTCAGCGCAGCACCTCTTGCCGGGCACCCCGGCTCCTCGCCGTGCGTCTCCCACGGTTTCTGCACCTGCCTCCCCCTCCGCGTGAGAACAAAGGTTGTCTTGCCTTGCCCAGCCACGCAGTCCGTGTTTATGAGTCTGGGAAGCCTGTAATTTCACCAAGTACGTGACTTCCAACAACAGCCGAGCTGCCAGGGCAGCGCAAACCCTCTTTGCCAGCCCTGCTGGGAACGAGGCCATCCGTGCAGCCGGCCCTGGGCGGCGCTGTGCTCTGGGGTCTCGTGGAGGCAGGAGGAAGGGGTGCATCCTAGCAGGGCCCCAGCAGCTTTGGTTGGTTCTCCCGGTTTCTCCCCTGTCTCTGATCTCCATGCGGGAAAACCAGAGTAGAATCGGGGAACGCCGAGGTGTTATTTCCCAGTCACACCTGGGAAATCGGTTGTATCTGACGATGCAGGATGTGAATCAAAGCACTTGGTGCTTGTGGTGGTGAAAGTGTCTTCTGCTTAAATACGTCCTGTGAACCCTTCTCTGCTGAGAGCCCCCCGCCACAGGTACCCCCCTCTGGAAGGAAGAATGGGTTAAACACCCCCAGTAGTCCCCGAGGAAGGCAGAAATCTTTGCAGGGAACAGGGCAGTGGCTCAAGGAAGCCAAGCCAAGCCCGGACAGAGACTATTTCCCCCTCTATTAAAGATCGGTTAGCAAGATACTAAGAAGCGACTAGAATGGAGAAAATTGTGATCACGGGAGGATTGGATTTCCAAGAGAAGGGATGCGTCTTTGTTTTGGGAAACGGTCAGGGCGTACTTGCGGTCTGCAGAATGCAGCCGCTGAAGTGTTGCCATAATACATCTCTTTGTCCTCTTTTTCTGAGAAGTTGCAAGTTTAAGGCACTATTGTCAATAAACCGGCAGTTTGAAAGATGCTGCCATTCAGCCCTGGGATAGGGTCAGACCTGGGGCTGTCTTTCCCAGCATTCTGCTGCCAGGGGAGCCACCCCCTTGCCCACGGGGTCCCACAAGCAGGAAGGGCGTGCACGGCACCCGTCCGCCCGTGTTCCCCAGCACAGGGTGTGCAGAGACATCCTGCCTCTGGTACTGGAAGGAGCGTATGTTCATGAGGACTACTAGCCATAGAGAGCCTTCACCTCCGAGAATGGAAAGAGTCTGACTCGGAATTGTGCATTTTACTGTTGCTGGTGAGGAGTGGTAAGGAGCTAATTCTTTGCGTGGATCCTTCCTTTTGTATTGGCCGGTTCCCCTCCACCACCATCACCCGGCATCTGTTCTAATTAATCTACAGTTCAACAGAAGGTGTTTGGTAATTCCTCCAATCTCTAACGACCAGGGGCCACTTGCTTTTTTAACATTTATGCACAAGCTCAGAAGCTGGACCATGCTCATGCAAATGAGGGCCTCTGAACATGTGCAAAGTGTTCTTCCTGTGGCATTTGTTAAGGACATGGAGCTGAAAGGAGTGAGATGCAGACAGAGGATATTGGGTTGAATCTCTTTATGAATGTCTGAGAAGGAGTCTGGTCACGTTCTGCCTGGTCCTCAGTCCTGGGTCCACCTGCCCAGAGGAGGGCTGAATTCTGTGCATTCTCTGTGGATTGTGTGAAAGAAGCCAGGCTGGGACTGGCAGAACTGTTTGGGGACCAGATCCGTACCTCCAGGGCCTCCTCTCCTTCCCAAACCACCAAATGTTCGGTAGCTTCTCAGCTTTCGTGTGGTTTTCCTCCATTCTCAAGAGTGGAAACGCTTCTTCGAGGGCTTGGTTCCCAGCTGCAAAGAATCTTGAGCTGAGATTTCCTGGCATTTTGTTGGATTTCGCTCCGACTTCGCCTTAGACAAGAGCGTCAGAAATGGCATCCGCTTCTTAGGCTGCGGAAGGGCCCCCACCCCGGCCTGACTTAATAGCCATGCAACCAGGCCCACCGCCCCCTGTGCTGGTCCCTCCTGGGGGTGCAGGCGTGTTGTGGGTGCACTGCAGGGCCTTTTCGTGGTGGCACCTCAACCCTGGAATACCTTCCCCGAAGAGGTGGAGTGGTGCTCGCATCGCAGCCTATTCTGTCGCGTTTGTCACAGTGTCCAGGAGGCGTTGGAGTTGTCGTTGCCTTTTTGTGTGGATTTTTCCGGGCACACTGCCCTCGAGTTCATTGGATGAAAGTCAGTTCTATGGCTAGCACTGTAAGGAGGGCCCACCAAGCCCAGTCTCCTGTCTCTGACCGTGGGCAGCCAGAAGTCCGCCGCAAAGGGAAGGAGGGCTTTCCCTGTAGTCCTTTTAAAGGTGGGCAAAGCTCTTTGTGTGGCAGCTCTCCTGTCTAATAACAGCAAGTGGATCTCTCCATCTTTGTTGGATCAGCCCAAGGAGATCGTCTCCGGAGTCCAGTTTCCCTGCCAGACTTTGACCAATGCTTCTGGGAAGATCACAGTAAGGCATGAAAGATGTCTAACCTGCCCCTAGCAAGTGTTACGTAGGGATAGCCTGCTCCTGAACATGGAAGGCCCCATTTTAATCAATCTCAGCCAATGGACTAGACTGAGGGGGTCTCTCTTGTATAAAAATGGGGTTAATTCAAGGTTCCAGTGCAAGCGTGTAGAACCCCAAATGGCACCCAGAGGTCTGAAGGGCTGCCTTCCCCATGATGGAGCAACCCAGGTTTAAAAATCAGTAGGGGAAGGTGTCCTCGTAGTCCTTGAGAAACATGGCCCTCCGGGCTATTGGACAAGGCAGAGTCTTATCAGTGGTGGCACCGCAAATGTTCAACTCCCTTCCAGTAAAGACTTGGCTGCCCCTAATATTTTTGCCATCTGGCTATGTCGCATTTATTTGTATAGGTTTTGTGGGGTGTAAACAAGGGCTTTATCAGTTTTAGGGAGCCTGGCAAATACCCCGGGGACAATGGAAAGAGATCCTAGATCAACTCAAGCCAGGAATTGCCCAGGAAGCAGAAACGGGAAACTTAAGCTGTTGTACTTCCGACCCTAGAGAAGACAATCATGCTGAGGAAAGTTAAAGATGGAAAAAGAGGAAGGCCAGAAATAAGAGAGGTGGGTTCCATAAAGGAAGGGTCGGGGGTTTAGAAGGGCTGAACAGGACAAAGCCTCCAGGACGACTTTCCTTCACAGGGTCGCTGTAAATCGGAGACACCTTTGACAGCAGGTAGAAGCAGGTCATATGGCTCCGTTCGAGGAGTTGGATGCTGAGCATCGTATAAGGAAGGACAGGACATAAATCAAATGAAATCAAAGTATTATAACTCTGCTATTACTCTTATGAATAACAAATAGGTATTTTACATCTTTGCACTGCTTCTAGGTTTTATTTTGACTTTTATAGTATCCTTTTGTGATCGCTTCCACCATTGTGAAATATCCAAGGAGCTTCGGCTGAGGGCAGGAATAGAAATATAATCAATAAACCGATGAAAAAGTAATAATAATTAATCTAATGGTATAATAATAATGAATCTAAGTTATCCTGAACTCAGCTTTTCCTACCCCGAATTTCCCCAGATGTTGTCGGACTGCCAGTACCGTCAAACCTCCGCCCACACTTCTTTTGGAATGATGGGAATTGTCGATCAACGAAATCTGCTCAGAAATGTTGCGTATTCCTTCATGCTTTGTGAATTTTAAGAAGTGAGTCGGGGACATGGGGGAACAGTAAAGAAGGTAGCAGAAACCTGGTAATCAAAGATAGCTGATCTTCTCTGTGTTATTGGGGAGCCAAGGAAGGGGGAAAAACAAGCAAAAGATTCATTCCTTAAAAAAAAAAGGTTTTTAAAAATATATTATTGCTAAGAGTTTTGGCCTGCAAAAGAGAAACAAACCATTAATCACACTAAATGCTTCAATATGTCGTTCTTAGGCAAAGCCTCAAATCTTTCCCGTTTTTCTGCTTGGCGCTGAGAACTGAGTGTATGTGCCAGGGAGATGGGCGATCACAAGATGGTTCTTGAAAATAAGACAAGACACCGAGGATGGTGCAGGGAGTCCCAGCCGCCTGGCTTCACTGCTCTCCCTGCCTCCGGGCTACAGGACGGGCCGTGGGTGGTCTTGGGCCCGGGGGTTGCCAACTGACCAGGAGCGAGCCTTGCCCTCCTCCTGTGCTTTCTTCTGAGGCACGATGCCACACATCTGGCCTTTGGGGCTTCTCCAAGCCTCCCTGCCTATTTCGTATTTGCCCACTGAACATCCTGCTCAAAGCACAGGAGCGGGGGGCTAGTTGAGACGTTGGCAACCAGCCCATCCTTCTCTTTAGCCCAGGGCTGAGTGAGTGGAGGTTAGGCCCATTCTCAGACACAACTTGGTGTCCTCTAGCTGTTCCGGGACCCCCACTCGCAGCCTCCCTGCCTTTGGCCAGGCATTGACTGGGGCAGATGGGAGCTGAAGTCCAAGATACCTGTAGGAGGATGATTGGTTTCTACAGCACATCAGGAAGGCTTTTCTGGCCTCTCCACTTCCCAGAAAAGCTTAACACCAGTTGTAAGAAAACAAACCTCCCAAGGCACCCTCTAAATTACATCACTGAAAAATGCAGAACATTTAGGAGAGCCATCTTGTGGCTGGGGATGATGGGAGGTGCAGTCCAACACAGCCAGAAGGTGCCAGCTTGGCAGAGTTGGTCAACCAGGAGTGAATTTAGTGGGTGTGCGTAGGAACTGTGAGTTTTGTCCATTTGGGGGCCTCCAAACGAATTTCTGGGGTCCAGATTCAAGGTGTGTTGTTTTTTCAGAGGTGCGTGTGTTCTAGAGAGACCCCCCCCATCACACCCATCCATCCCTTAGAAGCGGGCCTCTCCTTTGCCCAGTTGTGTATCTGTTTGCTTGTTTAGTAAATCCATGTTTTGCTGCTCACCACAACAAGGAGACTGGACACAACTGATTGTATTTTATTCCTTGCCCTGAATGTTGGGCTTGAGGACCTGGGAGACCTGGGTTCTAGTCCTCATGGGGCCATGGGCCTGTTACAGACTCTTGGCCTAGCCTGCCTCACAAAGCTGTTTTTGTGAGGATAAAATGGAACAATGTCAGCAGTTTTACGTTGCTCACAAGGGAGAAAAATGCCGTGTAATATATAAGAATTTGTTTATAGGGTCATTCAGACCCTAAACCTCAAGCACGATCCAACTTCGTCTGAAAGTTTAAAACTGCAAGCCGAAAAGCAACGATAATGACAGCAAATTAAACATAAAATTAAAAAAAAAAAACCCTTCAGCAATGCCAAGACTTCCCTTCCTCACACACAGAATAGAGAAATCCATGATTACGGTGAAACGGGAAAGGAGATGGTGGAAAGAAAAGGGAACCAAGAAAGAATAAAGAAGCTAAAAATCTGAGAAGCAAAAAGGAAAAGAGAAGAAGGAAGGAAGGAAGGAAGGAAACAAAAGAATTTAAAGAAAAGGAAAAGAGGAAGAAAAGAGAAATGAAGGGAAATAAAAGAGAAAAACAAAAGGGGAAAGAAAAAGAAGAGCGATTCAAAAAGAGAAAAGAAGACGAGCGCTTTAGAAAGAGCAAAGAAGAAATGCAACCCCCGAGACGGAATGAATGAAACCCGGGCGGCGCGGGCGGCGCTGCAGGGGTTAACCCCGGGCGCCCCCTCCCCTCCCCTCCTCCCTCCCCTCCCCCCCCTTCCCGGCGGAGTTGGTACTTTTTGTCGCGCTCCGGCGCTCCGATTGGCCGAAAGTTGGAGCTGGTGGCGAGGGGCGTGGCCGCCGCGGCACTTTCTCCGCTCGGCTCGCTCCCCGGCGGCGGCTCCTGCGCTGGCCCGGCCGAGCGAGCGGGCGCGGGCGCGGGGCGCGGGACGGGACGGGACACGACGGGACGCGACGGGACCGGGGCTCCGCCGGGGGGCGGCGCAGCGATGCGCCCGGGGGGCGCGCTCCGCTGGGGGCTGCTGGCGCTCTGGGGGGCCCTGGTCTGCCAGCAGGTGCGCGGCCTGCGCCACAGCGTCTACTGGAACAGCAGCAACCCCAGGTAAGGGAGAGGGAGGGAGAGGGAGAGGGAGGGGGGACCCCAGACCCCCGCCCGCCCCACCGGCTCGGCGGAGCCCCAGCGCTCGCGCCGCCCTACGCGTGCTCCTTCGGAGGCGGCCTCCCGGCCACCTCCAGGCCCCTGCGCCCCTGGGGGGACGCCTGCCCCCCCCCGGCAGAGCCCCCAGTCCCGCTCCCCCCTCCGTCCATCGGGTCCTCTCGCGCGGTGCGCTGGACGGCGCGACCCTTTGCTCTTGCTCCACGCGCGCGGGATGCGCGGGGCTTGCCCCTCGCGGGCGGGGGGCGGCCTGGAGCCGGACGGGGGTCCGCGCCAGTCTTGGCCGGTCTCCCTTTCGAGGCCCGGAGCCGCTGCTGCTGCGACCATTGTGGGGGGATTAAAGAATTTCCCGGGCAGGATCTGGTTAATGGGTGGAGGCAGAGGGAAGGGTTGGGGGCTGCCTCCCCATTCCCCTCCCCCTCCGCCTCCCCCTCCCCGCTCCCCAGCCCAGTTCCATGTTGCGCGCTTAGCATCTCCTTTGTCTCCAGGCCTCCGAGCCAGGTGCCGCCGCCCTCCATTAAAGGCCGGTTCTCCCGTCCCCTCGCCTCCTGGCCCGCCGTGGCTTCCTGTCGAGGGCCGAGGGCCCGGGTAGCGGCAGCCCCCACCCGTGGCACCGTCCGTTGTTCCAGTGGGGCTGGGGCGCCGCAGAGTACCTGGGTACCTGCCCCAAGACGGATCTCTTTCAGGACGGCCGTGGGTGGCAAATTCGGCGGGCCGGGCCGGGCCTCTGCCCCTCTTTGTGCCCACAGGACAGGCTGCTTAGGGCCTTCCTCTTCTCTCCTCCTCCTCCTCTCTCTCTCTCATTCTCTCTCTCTCTGAAGAGTCTTGTCTGGTCTTGTACCCACGATGCCCTGCCAGGCTGGCAGCTTGTCCTTGCTTGTCTTCACCTACTGTTTGGGCTTTCTGGTTTTCTCTTTTGTCAGTGCTTGCAGATGCGGCGTGAACCCTGCACCTCTCCAGAGAACAGGGGCTTTGGAAGGACCCTTGGGTTTCTCGGTGGCACCTGAGAGGTCTTCCAGTGCCAGCCCCGACTTGCTTCCCTTGGCGCGGGCCGGGGGGGGTGCGTGCCCACGGCCTTAAAGGACAGGTGGCACATCAAACTGGAGCTCCCTGGAAGAGGGCAAAGCCCCGGTTTGACAGCACCAACAGAAGGGGACTTTGCTCCTTCTGGGGAAACCTTTAAAAAGTTGTCTTGATACGGCTAGCATGGCATTCCCCATGCCATGCTAATTTTTCAGCCCAAAGGATGCCAGTCCATGACTCTTTCTGGAAGACCTTCCCTGCTTGACGGGACTTCTTGTAAGTGACAGGGACTGCACTCTGCATCTGTTCAGGGGCTACCTTCTTTGGATCTGCGCAACCCCCCGGGATGGTGAGAAGGTTCCAGAGCTCAACTTGAATGAGTCCCCCGGGCAAAATGTGGGTCCTACATGGTTCCTGCCCTATTCGACTATGTTTGGGTGCCACGGCCTTCCTGGTGGTGGCGTGGTGCCAGCCCCATGCCCAGTTGGCGGGGGTGGGAATTTGGTTTTCAGATGTAATCTGGTGGTTGTTGTTTCCTGCAGAACTGCCCTCCTTTCCTTCCTTGCGGGGCCCACCCGGGCAGACGGGGGGCGAGTCGGGGCGAGTCTGCCGAGACTGGGGAGGGGGAACACGAATCACCCAGGGAGCATTCCAGCTTGTTTTGCTTTGCTCGGCGTGGGAGCGTCGAGCTCGCTGGCGCTCCGGTCTCTGGCCTAGCCAACGCCGCCGTGGGAGTGCCATGGGGGTAGCTGGCCCACGGCCCAACGTGAATTATAAATTCCGATAAACGCTGGAGGTGGGCAAGAGACGGTCTCTCTGTGCCAACTGGTTTGACCGGTGGAATCCAGGTTGAGCTCCCCCTGCCCCCCTTTCAAAGTCTGATCCTCACAGCAGAGAAGTGTGTCGACCTGAGTGTGGCGGCTGATGCGTCCCAATGCATTTTCAGAAACACAATTTCCCCGCACCTGGAGATTCAGCTCCTCAAGGAGACAGGGAGCCCCCTAGTCTGTTGCTTGAGATGCCGCTGTTCTCAGTGCAGAGATAATGTTTATCTTTGGGATTGATCCGTGAGCACCACACGGCCTGCATTCTGGAGCCATGTGGCACTTTATATAAAATTCTTCTAAAACGCGAGAGAAAGAGCACGGCACCAGTGTGGTACCCCTGTGTGAACGATGACTCTTTCAACAGGAATTCTCCAAGGGGAATCCATTCTCACAGCCTGGGTGAACACGTATGGGAACAGAAGTATTATGGGGTGGAAGCGCATGCCGTGAACAAACTTGGGCTTTCCCTCCTTTGCCCTGTTCTGTGAGCTTTGACCCATCCTTTGTCAGAAGCACCTTTGGTGGATCTTTGACCTGCCTGGCACAACTTTCCTCGTACGGTTGGGAAGCCAAAGGTTTTGAACATTAACTGGGGTTGCGTGCGGCACGGCGGTTCAGGCATTGGCCTTGGATTTGGGAGGCCTGTTCTAGTCCCCGCTTGGCTACGAAGCTCACTAAGAGACTTTGCACCTGACACTGACCCTCAGCCTGCCCTACCTCACAGGGTTGTTGTGAACATAAAATAGTGAGGGAACTTAATGTATGCTGCCTTGGAGAAAAGAAATTGGAAAGCTATAATAATAAAGACAAACTACTCTCGGTGCAATTCTGTATTTCTCCACTCAAACTGAAGCAGCCTTAAGTTCACTAGGATTTATTCCCAAGTAAGCACTTAGAAGTTTCCAGCTTAAATCATGTTCACATAACCACGGAGATTCGATCTTATAACCTCACCTTTCCGCAGTTCTACATGTGTTTACTTGGGAGTCGTCTACGTTGTGGTCATTGGGATTTACCTCTGAGTAAATATGCGTAAAACACAGACTACTGTTTTGCTCTCTGCAGCCAATTTAGCCTTCGTCAGCCTTTTCCACAATCAGCCCCATTTAAATTCATTTCGGCTGCACTGGAATAATTGGTGAGAGGCTTGGAGCCTTGCTTTCCTTCCGAATTCATAATAGATTATTATTACTATTATTATTTTAATTTTGGAATAGAAAGATAAAAATCTGTGGGCAATTATCCCAGTTCAGATTGGTGAGGTTAAGAGGGAAAAGACAATATATATACAACTAGGACTTTCCCTGAGTTTCGTCATCGGCCTTCCTCACCCTGATGCACTCCAGATATTTTGCACTGCAATTCCCAGCATCTGGTTGGAAATGCTGGGACTTGTAGAGCAATGCATTAGGGGCAGCTGGTTTGGGAAAGTCAGTTCAGTGATGGAAGGACTGTACCACATTTCCTGCAAAAATATTTTTGCAAGCAAAACCGTGATCTTGAAATAGGTGTGTGTGTTTGAATGCTGTGGTATGCGCGTAAGCTTTTGATTTTAAAATGGTTTGGGAGAGAGGATGCAAACTTGCAATTCTGCAAGGAAGCAAAAGGGTGCATGGAAAAATGCTACCTTTCCAAGCAGACGCAGCTCCGTGTTCTTGCGGTCTGTCTCAGTGAACTTGGCTTGCATGTGTCCCTCAGTCGAAGTTCAGCTTCTGCTGTCTTGGTTCCTATGCTGAGATGACCAATTTCAGTCATCCTGCATCATCTGATGTGCTGTGTAAGATGGTAGTTTCCTACCTTTTTATAAAGGTCTCTCTCTGGCCACTTCTCTTCTGCTCAGGAGGACTGAAAATAGTGCACATCACAAGTCTCTTCCAGAAAACTCACGTGCATCTTCCAGACACTCTCAAAATACTTTCTTTTTGGAAGTACATTATCATATGGCGTATGCAAACATGTACATATTTGTTGACACGCGTGCTATAAGCACATACACGAATGCTTTCTGGTATACACGGATTCTCTGAAAGCCAAGGTAGCCCCGTCGCCCATAAGAAAAAAGCCAAAATCCTTAGCAGCATAGTTTCTTCTTAGGTTAACCGCAAAGTCACAAAACTAGAATGCAGCGTGGTAACAGCAATCACTCATGTCGGTTGTTTAGTTTAGAAAAAGGGTACAAAGTGATGCTTGGGGGAGAAAAAAAATCTCTCCCCATCTCACCTTCCTAAAATCAGCAGGGTCACATCCCATGAAGCTGGTGAGAGATTCAGCGCAGGAAAAAGGAAGCACTTTCTCCCCTTGCGCATCACAAAATCGTGGAATTCACTTCGTTGGGATGGAGAGACGGGCCCTCAATTCGAAAGGCTTGAAAATGCACACGGGTGTGCGTGGCTGCTTGTCCTGATGGCCATGTGCCCTCTTCTGCATTAGAAGCAGTCTGCCTGCTGGGGAACATGGGCAGGATAGTGGGATGAGATTCATGTCCTCCCGTGGGCAACAGGTTGGCCTCTGTGTGGACAGAATTTTGAGTGAGATGGACCTTGCGTGTGGTCCAGGAGCAGGTCTCTTTTGATAGTCTAAAAATAAGAGACAGGAAAAATGTAGCTGATGTTGAAGACATGGAATCCATGTGCACATATTTATTTCTTTTAGGTAAGGAGCAAATCTCACGCACGCACCTGGCGGCTGTTTTGCAAAACAGGCTAGGTTGTTTTGCAAAGTCGGTTCTCACGTCCATATAAATAGCGTTATTATTCCTCTGTTTTTGGACTTTGTACCCCTGTTGCAAAATCCACAACCTTGGCTCTGCTCTTAAGCCATGCTTTGAGTGCTTCTCTGTTTAGTCATTGCAGTATATTTTTTTTAAAGTGTTGATGTTGTTAAAAACAATTTTTAAAGGATTGGTTTAACTTTCAGGTGCTTTTAACTGGGTTGGGAAGGCTGCAAGGATGTTAGAATTTGCCAGAGTGCTGAGCCCCAGGACCCAAGCCGTGTATCGTTCAGGAAAGTATGAGAAAGTTTGCTCTTGGCCTGTGTTTAGTGAGTCTCTTTGCACATTAAGTGATCACATCCAGACCTCGAATGGCTGAAATTCGGGAAGGTTTGTATATAGGAGAATTTGATCAGCTGCAAAGCCAATGTGTAAAATGTGTCGAATTTAGGTAAAAATACACGAGGATTATAGATGGTTTTATGTTAGCAAGGTTGTATTCACACATGGCTTGTTTTTTCCTGTGTCTGGGGGTGCTTGTATTTTAGCTGGCTAATCATTTAAAACAAAGGTTGTGTTGACTTTTAAAATCTCTGTATATAAATATTTGACCATGTGAAGTTTGTCCTCTCTGAAACATGTTGACTTAATGGTCTGGTTCACAGGTGGGCCAAATTAGATATTGGCACAGTATATCTTTTCTTCATGGGGCAGAAAACAGCTATGGAGGGAGGGCAACTTGTTAGCAGGAAAATGGTCCATGGAAAAGGGGTTTAAGGAAACCTTTTCTGCTGCTCTGATCTGATTCGGAGCTGTCCCCCAGCTGTGTCAAAGTGACAACGGAAATTATTGGACAATCCATCTGTTTGTTGCATCATTTCCGTCCACTGCAGGGCAGGAAGTTCTATCTAATCTTATTCATCTTCAAAACAGCAAAATAGGTCATTGAGGTTCTAATTAATGAGCGGCGATCCCTGCCTTTTTCAGGCTCCTCAATTCCCGGCCCTGAATTGTGGCCCTTTGCTGCTCAGTTCTGGTTTTGATTTTAAAAATTCGGTACAATGGGCAATGCGTTTATCTGTGTGTTATCTTGTAGATGTTTTTCTCTTTTGAGGGATGGTATATTGTGTTTTCTGCACACCTAACCTATAGGATATTGTACTGGGTGGACCTTTAGGTACCACATCACTAGATGCAAGTCCTGAATTTTCACGTTTTCCCTGTTACTTCTAAGCTTCCTTCAAGTCCTTTGATTCACCTTTGCAAGTGTGTCCTTGGAATTTTATCTTCTGCTCACCCCCAATATTCGGACCAGTCTGTGCTTGTGTGTGTATATATAGGTGATTTTGATTATGTGAAAAGCCTAGTTACAGATTTCAGAGAGTGGTGACAGCCGGATCCTTTTGCCGCCAGTTGCAGAACACTTCTCTGTGTTGCTTGCCTGGAATTGCTGTCTGCTCACCAGAGGCGAGTAGGTTACTGATGACGCAAGTCTACGAGGACGCGAGTAAGAAGTCAACCCGTTCCCTCCTTCCAGGGTTCTCTGGCCAATGAATGCAGTGGACTCTGGGATGATTGACAGGGAAACTTTCATGGTAGTAAAGTGCATTAGCGATTCTTGTACTTTCTGGTTCAATTTTGAAGAAAGCTTGGAGGGAGGCCAGGGCGGATGGACTGTGAGTCCTGTTTGGTTCTGATACTTTTGCAGCTCCGAATCCTTGAATTTGGAGAGTGAGCATCTTTTGTATCTGGCTGCAGCTGATTAAAAAGCAAGAAACCAAGTGGCACAGGGAGTTTCGTGGCATCTGCAGGCTCCGTGTTGCTTCCATAGGAGTAGAGTACATTATTTTGGGAGTCCACGTCTGCCACAACCTGAGCATGCACCGTGGTTTTCCGTGCTCTGCTGGCCACGGATACTCTTCTCTCCGGAGGACTAGCGATTGAAGACTGCAGTGTTGTGAGGGAGCAATCGCAGGATTCGGCGTTGTCGTTGTTGAACTTTTTATTGCCATTGGAGAAGTCTGTTTTCATGGGTCGTACCGTTTGCACAGAACACGGGCCCAAGTCCTGGGTGCAAGCCTTTTGCAGTACATGCATTGAGAGACGGTCTTTAAAGAGAATATTTGATGTGTGCCTTGGATGGGTGCCCGCAGTGGGCTATGCCAGGATGATGGGTTCTTGGTAGCCACCACTGCATGCTCAGAAGTCTTCTTTTGTTGGGTGCGACGAACAGTCTGTTCTCACCTCATTGCCCTGCGGCCCCCAAGTTCACATCCTGTGGCGAGTTCGAGGGCCCAGCTCTGCCCACGGTTCTCATCAAGCCATCAGCGAAGGGGGTGTCAGACCCACATCCATTGCCGTACCCTTTGTTGCCGGTACCCCACTTCCCCTTGGAAGTGCATTCTGCGCCACGGTGCCCTCGCTAGGGGATTTTGGGATGTCTGGCCAGTGGCCGCCACATTCCCCGACGATGCATCACTCGGCCAGCTGGGTGGGTGGCGGTGGGGCAGGCGGAGCCTTCAGACGCGGGTGCTTTTGTCTCGGGACTGGGCTGCTGGCCCATCACCCCGAGAGCTCCCCCACCGACCCTTTTTACCTCCAGCCACTTGAATTAATCGGAGCTGACGTCCGCTTGTTTAGGAGAGCTGGGCAGCTGGATCGAAGCTGTCGGTGGGAAAGTGCTGGAGTTCCTGGCATGTTTGCACCCCACCTCTTCTGTGTCTCTGTTTCTTCCTTCTGCACCCCAAAACCTGGGCTGTGTACGAAAAGAGCAGAAGCCCTAGAGGGGAGGAATAGCAGTTCAGGATTGCTGGGTGCAGGTGGTTTCTGTTAATTTTTTGGGTGTCTTTGCACAGGCAGATAAAAATCCAAAAGGAAAAAAAATGAAACTTTCTGGAATGGCTGAGCCAGGAGGAAAATAGAGAGGGAGGTACAGAAATTAAGAATTTCTTAATAACACAAGAAGAATGCTAATTAAGTGTGATGAAAGGCTCCCATGAGAATAAATCCATGCACCCACAAACGAGACAGAGAGAGCCCGCTGCTTCCCTGAATGAGTTACTGTTCTGGGGTCATTCCAGGCAACCTCCACGTGGCCAGGAAATTGTTCTTCTCACCTCGGGTTGACTTCTTGAGGTATGCTGTGGACAGAAGAACAGCCTGACTTCTGGGGAGGGTGCTTGTCGCCCCCCTGCACGTGACTACCAGAATCGGGTTCTTCTAAGGGTGGAGGGGAGAAAGGGATTCTGCTATGCTACTGGACTGTGGCGGTATGCTGTGGATCTGCTGCCCCCTTGGGCCTGGGGTGCGCGGTTGTGTGAACTGCCCATCTGGGGAGGACGTTGCAAAGGGGCTGGACTGGGAGCTGCAGGGTCTCTTGGGGTTCTCCCTGAAGGAATTTCACTGACGAGACATCAAAATAAACTTGGCAGGGGCAGAATTTTGTCCAGTCCGCAGGCAGTTCAGTCCTTCACACAAATGCCTTTCTGCACCGTTGGCCAAGAGGGTCTTTAAACTCCTTTCCAGCACTGCAATTCTGCCTTGTTTGCCTGTCCGGCTGGGAGACATTCTGCGACTTCGGGCGCAGGAGAGAACTGGATTTAGGCTATTGAAAGAAAGAATCCAAGCTAGGTAGAGAACTGAAGCAGATGGCATCCAGGCTTGATTTGAGTCAGGCTGCTGAATTCCCCGTGGGGCAGAGTTTCGGAGGTTTGTCTTCAGGGAGCGCAGCAACGGGTGGGCTGAAGGCAGGCCGGGATGTCCTCAGAGATCTCTGGACGATTCGCCATAGATTGGCAAGATCGATCAGCTCTTTCTGATATTCGAAAGTACAAATGCCACCTCCATTAAGAGAAGGTAACGAGATTTGAGGGGGGGAGGGCATCTGCACCATGGGTGGTCTTGTGCCTCCTGGCCTCAGTCATCTTTATCTTTGTGAAATGGGAACATGTCCGAGGCATTTGGAGAGTTTTGTGTTGGGATTTTTGATCTCGGAGGAGTCAGGTGTAGCTTGATGCTTCTGGGTGCAGTTTTTCCCCACCAGCGATTCACGAAATTGCCCGTCGTGTTCTGTTTCTCCCCCACCCCACCCCACCCCACCCCATTTTGTGCTAGGCCCCCATGGGCGGGCATTGCGGGATTCCAATAAAACCAACCAGATCCTGCATGTCCTGTAAGCTCATTTCTGCTCCCCAGAACTTTGAATCATGTAGATAAAAGCAGCGACTCCTTCCTGGATTCCTTTTGCCAGGCATCCCCTGTGTTGCTTACAACCCTTCCCTTTGTATCCATGAGGACTAGAAGTTTGGTTGCTTTTTAAAGAAAGGGGGAAAAGAGAAGACTCCCTGTGCTATATATTTCTACGAACACGCACGAGAGGCTTTTGAAGTCTCGTGCACGTCATATTTGTGTGTGTTGGTTCTCCTTGGCATGCACCCATCGAAATGAACCGCACCCTGCTTAGTCATGAACGAACTTGAGCCCCATTTGTCTCAATAGGCCTACTCCAAATATGAGTAGCATTGGAAGCAACCCACGGTAATCATGATCGATTTCATGGTCTGGAGCTTCCAGGTTAATTTAATCCAGATTTGGTGCTCCAGCCAGCGAACGATGTACAGCAGGGCAATGAGATCAGTCCACTTAAGAATATAATCTTCTGAGCAGCATAATTTGGATGAATCGATCCGGTGGGGATTGCTGGAGACGGTGACTGCCTCGCTCCTCTGTTTACAGATTCTTCGACGAGGACTACTCTGTTCAGGTCTCCATCAACGACTACCTGGATATATACTGCCCGCATTATGAGCGGGTCCTGGCTGTCGGAGGGCCGGAGACGTTCGCGCTCCTCATGGTCGACCTTGAAGGCTACCGGGGCTGCTACGAAACGCAGGGAGCCTTCAAACGCTGGGAGTGCAACCGCCCGTATGCTCCTTACGGGCCTGTCCGCTTCTCGGAGAAAATCCAGAGGTTCACCCCTTTCTCCCTGGGCTTCGAGTTCCAACCGGGCCACGATTACTACTATATTTGTGAGTAGGCATCTTTTTGTTTATTTATTTATTTATCTATCAATTTATATCCTGCCTTTTTCCTACAAAGGGCTCAAGGCAGCTTGCATCATTCTCCTCCTCCATCTTATCCCCACAACAACAACCCTGTGAGGTAGGTTGGGCTGAGAGTCTGTGACTGGCCCAAAGTCACCCAGTTGGCTCCATGGCTGAGCGGGTACTCGAACCCGGATCATCTGAGTCCCAGTCCCAGGCTCTTAACCACTACACCACACTGGCTCCACATCTTAGTCCGAGGAGTTATTCTTTTTTTGAATTTTACACCCAAGGAAGGTCTGCGATTCAAAGGGCAGCCAGACTTTGTTCCTGGTTTTAAGCTCTGGCTGGACTGTGAAAGGGTGCGCGGACCGGAAGGGGTGAAACCGGCACTTCCCCTCCACTTCCCCTCCACAGGCCGGGGGCGTGTGATGGCAGGAGTCATCACCCTCATGAATACTCCAGACTGCTCTAGTTGAGGGGCGTTCCCTTGGCAGCTTGTGTGCCCAGCAGCGTCCCTTTTAGCTGTGTGGATGTGTGCTGTTTTTCTACCCAGCATGCCCCTTAGATTAAGGCTCTGTTATTCTGGAGGCATTATGGGAAATGAAACATGGCGGCCGGCAGCAGTGACGAGCCCGGAGAGGGTCTGGCAAGCTTAGCCATTTCATTAAGGGAACTCCCTGAGGGACCAAGCCACTGTCCCCAGTGCCATGTAGTGCTTTCCAGTTATTGTACAGTCCCCACCGCATTCTTAAAAGATTGGGATTACCTCTCCTAAGTTCTAGTTGTTGGCTGTAAGAGCTTTAAGCTAAAGGATGCTGATACACTGGCCCCGCCTCCTGGTCTCTGGCTCCACCCACCACTGGGATGGGAACCTGAGAATTCTCCGGAATGAAATGTGGCCTTTGGCTTAATGGAATAATCCAACATGTGAGTGGATTAACTGATCAAAACATGTTCACCCGCTGGAGAGAGAACTCTTTAACAGTAGCCCCCCTTTCTCTGCATCAAGTAATGAGGAAGGCCTTACCTGTTGGGTTTCTGCCTTACCGGATGCCGTGAAGAGCTACTGAGAATTGTGCTGGAGGTGCAGAGGTTCGCACTGGAGGGGTAGAGTCCTGAGTGGAGTTGAAACAGCGTTAGGATAGCAAGGTGGCCGGCGTCCTTTTCTGGTCCGGTCCCTGTGCTCATGATAGCTGTGTCAAGGGCAGAAACTCAAAATGTGTGCAGCCCTCCACTTTCCTGCACTCCTCAGTTGGGAGGGGCTGAACCGGTTGAATTCTTGCCTGGTCTGCTGCCCCTCTGAGGCACGGACCTGTTGAATTTTTGCTTGGCACTCAGCAGCTTTGGGGAGCAGAGTGGGAATGGAAGGGGCTTGGACTCTTGACCCCTGAGCTCTCTGTTGTCGCCTTTCGGGGGTTTGCTGCTCCAGGACACACACGTTTGTGCGTGTGCACGCGTGTGGGTTGCTGTCTTTGCGCTCTCCTCAGTGTCCTCCGCCTTGGTCTTTCTCTCCACCAGCTATCCCCACCTCAGAGAGTCCGGGCCGCTGCCTGAAACTGCTGGTGTCCGTCTGCTGCAAGGCAACCAGTAAGTCCGTCTGTCCGTCCATCCCATTCACAGAAGGGTGAGAGGCGATTCGTTGGGACCGGGGGGCTTCCCGTTGCAGCAATCCCCCAAAGCCCCCTTCTCAAAAAAAGTGGGAGATCCAAGGTGGGCCTGAGCTGGTGGCTTGGATGGGACGGAGACCGGCCTTCCTCCTTCCTTCCTTTCACCCAAAATGGCGGCTGCACGTGATCGGGGAGGCCGTCTGCCCCGGGGGGCTGGCAGCAGTGGAAGGACCCCCACGGCTTAGAGGCTGGAGCCTTGTTCTGCCGGCAAAGGTCCCAGTTCAAAGCTTCTTTGAGTGGGGAAGACCCCGTGTTCGCCCTTTGAAGAGCAGGTGCTGATGAATAAATCACACCTGTTCTGGAGCCCGACCCGGAGGCCTGATTCAAATTAAAACTTTAATAACAAGCCCGATCACGAGGATGGCAACTGCCTTTCCCTTTAGCAGAGATCTGTGCGTGTGAGAGAGCGTGTACACCGGGCGAAGCAGGCGTTGGGTCCTCGCCTCTCCAGATTTTGTTGACCTCCCAACTCCCATCAGCCCCAGTTAGTATGACCGGGGCGGGGAATGATACAGTCCAGCAACATCCGTGGGGGCTAAGCTTCCCCCAGATACAGGTACTTCGCTGTGGTTGACTTGGAAGGGAAAGTGTGACCCCGGACTGACCCGAATATTTTTGCTCGTAGCCGCAGAACCTGCAACGGAGGGTCCCAAGTCACAACCTCGCGGGAGAGGTGGCTCAGAGGGTGAGTTTTTTTGGGGGGGTGGTCTGTAGGTCTGGACATGGCTGCAGAAGAATGGCACGCTTCATTCCACCCCCAGCCTGATGACTTGCCTCCAAGAGACGGGCTCGCCCGTGGCGATCAGGGGAACGTTTTCATGCCAGGCTGGAGGAGGTGGACTCTTGGTTGGCTCCAGTGGGGCTTCTCTCGCCCTGAGGGCCAGATTTAATTTTGGAGGTGCTTGTTTTGCGGGAAGGGTCCCACCCCACGCGTGAGCAGAGCCGAAGACAAGAGGGGCAGTGCTTCGGAAGTAAAAACGCCTGCATGTTTTAGCTTAAGGCTACTTCCAGGAACTCAGCCTCAGGAATTCCTGCCCTTTAGAACTGGAAAGAAGAAACTTGCACAAAACATGAGCCAGGCTTTGTGGGAAAGGGGGCCTGACCTTCTCGCCAGAGGGCCAGGATGGGTCTGTGGTGGTCTGGATTTGGCCTTGGCCCCTTGCCTTGCGTTCTTGTTCTTGGGTGACTGCATGGAGAAGGCTTGTCCCGTGAAGCTGCTTCCTCCCACGGAGCTTCCAGAGAAGCCGCCGTCATTAGTCCGGTCTCAAACCGGTTTTGAGTGTGTCACACTCTTTCTCTCTCTGCTTTCAAGGGAGGCGCCCTCTTTTCGGGAACGACTGACTCTCCTCTCCTTTCTCCCTCCTCACAGATGCTGCCGTAGCCCCCGGACGGAGCTCTGCCCCCTCGTGGCGCAGCTGTGCCTGCGTGGGCCTGACCCTCCTCTCCCTCCTGCGGCTCTGACCTCAGGGAGGGCGGCAGGGAAGGAGGCCCAGGCTCCTCCAGGTGGCGGGCAGGCTGTGCGGGCCGGACGGTCCCTCTGCCCCACTCCTGCCCCGCCTCGAAAGGATACTGGATTCCTCACTCGGCACTTTAGGACTCGGAGGGGATATGCCTGCAGCTGTCCCTCAGCTGGGCCCTGCGCAGCCTCTGAGGCAAGCTGAGCTCTCGGAGGCCAAGTAAGCCAAGGCAAAGGGGTGGACGTGCCCCCAGACCTCCGGATCCCCCAGCTCATCTCCCTCCTGGACTTCTCAAGGCAACTGGAAGACCTTGACTGGGGGGTAAGTCTTGGCAAGGGGGTGGGAGGGCAGGAGGGGACACATTTCAGGATCTGGGAGCTGGTGGGGGACCTGGAGGTTATCTAGTCCAACCCCTCTACTTAAATAAGGACTTAAACCTTTGTTTTAAAGGAAAGCTAAGGTGCTTAAATTAAATTAAATTAAATTAAATTAGTGCTGTGAACGATGTCAAGCCAAGCCGCTTCCCATAGTAACCTATTCCAGTGTAGAATTGCACTTAGTACAAAGAAGTTTCTCCTAACCTGTTGCAATAAGCTGCTTTCTTATGGAGGGAGTGGGGAAGGTCTGTTTATAAAAAGAGAATAATAAGAGGAAATTCTGTATCCAGTAGCATGTCTAGAGAACCAGTTTCTTCAACCTTCTGTTTAAAGCAAAGGTTCTAGTCCACATGGTTGTGCATTTTTTTTCATCCTGTTCTCCTTTTTGGTTAATCTAAAGTAAGGTTGAAGTGCTGTGCAGAGTGGTCTTTCGCATGTCGTAGTAGCCGCTGAAGGTGTCAGATAAGAATTAATGAAATTATGGGGTGGGTATCTTTCCCTGAACTTATTATTTGAGACAAAAAAAACCCCTAAGAAGTAAAATGCCGTTCGTCCAACAAGTGGGGACCTGCGGTAGAATGTTGTAGTACAGAGAGCACCTGTTCCAGGTGTCTGCCAGCCATACCCACTTTTACCATACTCCATTACATTCCCCATGACCGCTGATTTTTTCTGTATGCCAACAGTGAACCAACATTTTGCAGCTATCAAGCCTCAGTCCTGTTCCTGGATCTCTCTCCCCCTTTGATTATTGATTGGGGTGGGTACTTTCACAAACCTTGCAAACTGGGTTTGTGATCCCTCCCGCTTTCACGCTGATGATGTTACGGGCAAGCATAAAGATCAACTTGTGCACCTTGACATTAGAAATAGAAATTTCTAATTTCTTTTTAAAACTAATAACAAAACAACAGCAGAAAGCTGCTAGACTGCTGGTGAGAGGGCACTGCGAGGAGAAACAAGAGGCAGAACATTTCAGAACAAATCATATTATCTGTTGAGACAGATCTAAATCAAATAACAGAACCGTGGAAATGTCAGGAGGCAGTATGAAAGTTTATGAGGGGGAGTCACTGTCAGTGTCTGTAAAGGCCAGTAGACTGATACGATTTGGGGTGGGCGGGTATTTATTTGGGAGGAGCGTATTATGTATGAACTAGGTGGTGACCCTTTTCCAGGTCAGTGGGATGTGGAAAGCAAATTTGTGATCATTTGGACAGTGCAAAAGAACTTCCATCTGGTTCCTTCCGGATAGGAAGTCTGCACATGCTCTGGGGCCCTCTCTGGTTTAATTGTCACTTCACATGCTCCCTGGAGGCTGTGCAAACAGGGTTTGGGAACCTGGTCCGGTTCTCTTTCCACGGAGATGCTGCGGGCACTGCCTGTGTAATCAGAGCTTCTCTCGCTCTCTCATTTTCATGCCTCTTCTGTTGTCTTTTCCTGTAGGATGTTCTCTCCTGTTCTCATGGAATGTCGGATCCATGGTTTCTCGCCACCTGCCTCCGATGATATGAGAAGAGGAAACCAGGACACCCCTCCAAGCCCCCCTTGAATTTGAGTTTGGGGAAGGGGCACAGCATTTCTTCCATGGTATGGCAGGGGGCTCAGAGAACTGTCTCCAGGACTCTTTGTATACCAAAGACGGGGAGAGGAACCCCCACTTCTCTGTCCGGTTCTTCCAGACTTGGGCTGCTTAAAGGAAGGGGCGGCAGATTCCCCCCCCCTTTCACCTCTTCCTTGAGCTGTGCCTTCTTACAGACTCCCTTGTCCCCCGAAATCTGGCCCATCAGCCTTCAGCCCTGCCCCTCCGTTCTCGACGAGAACGTTGCTGCTGACGACGAGGACGGCAGCTGCTTTTTGTCTTCTGTGAAGATCTGTATTTTGGCGGTGCCCAATTTCCTCCTGGTTTTCCTGGATCCTTTTGTTTAAATATATTGGCGGGGAGGAATTGTCCTAATTGCTGGTGATCGAGCTGGACGATAAAACCATTTCAGAAAGTCCGCCCCTTGCTTTCTCTCCCTGCCACGCCCCACGCTTTCTCTGGGGTGGCTGAAAGAAAGAGCCGGAGGTTTTTCGTGCGGTGATTGGGGGGCGGGGGGAGAGGAAGCCGGGGGTGCGCATGGCGGCAGAGAGGGTGGGGCAGAGCTGCAGTGGCTGCGACTGCATCGCAGCTGCCGGATGTGAAATGCGAGGGCTGCGCGGGACTCGGGTGCCACTCCAAGGTTTTTGGGGTCCCTCCATTCCCCCCTTCCTCTCAGGTAGATCTTCCTTGCACCTAAACACACACACACACACACACACACACACACACAGAGTGAGTCCCCCCATCCCTCGCCACTGGGTGTGTTTGCCGGCTGATGGAAACCGTGCTCCAGCACATCTGCAGGGCTTTAAGTGGGCTGCCCTGCAGCTTCAGGGCTCCTTCGTGGAACGGACGGGCTGTGCCCGTTTCCTGGGATGATTCTTTCCGTTTCTCTACCGCCCCACAGCCGAGGCCTCTGAGCAGCTCACAGCGGTGGCTTTGTTCTGTTCAAATGCGTCGTCTTGCTTGCGTCCTGCCGGAAACTTCGATGGAGCTCTCTGGTCGTGTCGGTGTTGCCTGGTGCCCAGCGAAGGCAGCGCCCATGGATGGGGTGGGGTTGGGGTTGGGGTTGGGGTTCGGTATGGAGAAGGGGAGGTAGGATGTGGCTTACTTGCCGCTTTCCGCATCGGTTTTCTTCCCTGCATCCTCCTCTTGGTACTGTGACCGGATTCTGGGTGGTGGAGATTAATTGCAGCCTTTGATATTGAGATGTCAGGAAATGTCACCACAGACTTTTTAATTATGGGCCGCATGCCAGCAATTAGCGTTGGTGCCTTGGCAACTCTGTCCAACTCTGCTCCACCCCGCTGCACCACTCCCTGTGTCTCCTCGTGGGTAAGGACCACAGCAGGCGTGGGACATTCCAGTGTCTGCCGGTCAAAGTGGCGGGGAGCAGAGTGGAAGCAACACTTTTCCAGCTGGGAGACTGCGGGCACGGGAGTGGGAGGCGGACAGATGTGACCTACGGGGAACTGAGACGCCCTTTTGCAGAAACCCCATGGGAGGGGACCTGTGCCCCATCGCATTTGAGCACAAACCTGACCATTGAGTGCCCAGATCGTTTCTTCCAGAATTGCTGGATGTGATGTGGTGAGCTGTCTACCATACAGGGCAAGTTCCTAGTCCTTATTGTTGAGAAGGTGATTTATAGGCAACATTGGATTAAGCCTCCCAAGCCTGAGGGACAGAGGAACAAAATTTCACAAAGACGGGAGGCACACAGTCCTCCGAGGGGGGCAGTGCGAATACCCAGAAAAAACACCAAGATCATATTCAGTTTGCAGAATTGTGCTCCATCTGCATAATTCATAGGCAGGCTGCTGCAGACTGCAGCTTTCCTTTCTGCCGAATTTGGCCCCTGAATGTTCCTATTCGCTTAATCTGCCAAGACGCGTTTCAGTGCAGATTGCCCATTTTGGCAACCTGTACCGAAGCAGGTTCGACCGCTGCTCCGGTAACGCGATTCTGCCGCTGCGCTCTCCACGATACGGAGCCAGGATCGGGCTTCCGAGGGTTTCGCATCTGCTGGTTTGGGGTGGAGGAGCGACGGCGTGGCGCCCACGCAGAAAACACCGCAGCGAGCCGGCAGCCGCAGTCCCTTGTTCTCGCCGCAGACCACTGCGACGCCCCCACCCTTCTGCGTTTCCCGGATTTATCCCCACCCCTTCCACCAGCCCTTTCGGCGCAACGCGGCGTAATTCTGCCTGACGTTAACAGCCCCTGCGCCATGGCCGCACCTAAACAAGGCAATTAGAACCCCCGCCGCAAATCAAGGCTGGAGAATTAGTGCTGGCCGTAAAACGTGGCAGGTGGCGAAACCATGCGAGTCCGTGTGACCGCCGGCAGAACCCAGCAAATCAAATCGGGCTGCGCCGCAGAAGTGTACATGTGTGTGTGTGTGGGGGGGGGGAGGCGCACTGATCCCTGCGCATGTGCATGTTTTTTAATGAAAGAATCCGATCGCCCTAAACCTGCTGCGGGAAAAAGAACATCAGGGATGAATGGTGCCTGGGATGTTCTCCTCCTCTAGAGGGCGCCAGGTGCCCCATTCAGTTTAGTGCACCCACACGGTCTTTTGCCCTGTCGTGATTATAATGCGGCTTCCTGCCCTTTGGAAGGGGGTTGCACCCCCTCGTTGGTTAGCGCGTGCCGTGTCCAGAGGGCTGGGTGCCACTTGGATTTTCGGTCTCGACTTGCCCGGGGGGTTTTCTGCAGCCCTCTTGCCCCTCTTTATCCCGGGATGCGACACCTCTCTGTTCTGGCGGTGTATGTTGCCCAGGCGGTTGCGGTTGCAGCGGAGCGTGGCGGCCCGAGCGTCTGATCTGCGCTCTGGGGTGCAGCTGCAGCGGCGGAGGCCTGCCGCGGCATGTCGATTTCACGGCCCTTCATGTACAGACGCCGCGCAACTTCCTCTGATCTCGCCCAGCTGGGCAGCCGCGGCAAGCCGGTCCCAATGCCGGGGCTGGCGTGTGCCGTGGGGGATGCCCCGCTGCATTCGTGATCTGTGCAGCGCCCGGCTGGTAATCGGGGGCAGCACCACAATCCGCCGGGCCACAGGTGGAAAGGCTGCGACGGAGTCCCCCCGACCGGGACGGGGAGCCGGCTCAGCGGGACTCGAACGCATTCGCAGCATCTCCTCCTGGCCAAAGTGTGCCGTCGGCCACAGAGGACACACCGGCTCCCCTCAGCGTGATTTCCTGGCGGTTGCTGCAAGCGAAGGCCATCGTCGAGTGCCAGTTTTCGCGGGTACGAGAGCACGGACTCTGTTAGCAGACCCTCCCCCAGAGTGTTCTGCTGAATGAGCCTGAGGAGCTGCGTTCATTCCAGGGTTTATAGAAGGGGCTTTTGCGTGTGCCAGGTCTCCGTCTGTGTTGTCGCCCCCAGCAGGCATGTAGCAGCCTCCCAAGCGAGCTGGATAGTCCCTTTTCTCCGTTGCCAGGATCAATCCCATGCCACTGGGGGTTACACATTCACCGGGGCTGCGGGAAAGTTCGTTCCTTGGACCCCAAACCCCGAGGGAAGGTGGGCCGCCTGCTTTGAGCACCTTCCACAGAATCCTCCCTTGCAAGTCGGGGTGCAGAACCTCAGCACGGAAAGTCCAGTCCAGCCCTCTGGGGTCTCCCTTTTCCCCAGCCGTCCATGGTTTGGTCCTTCACTGGCTTTTGTGCCATTTTCCCCCTACCGCCACTTTAAAAAGGGCAAATACTTCCAAGGCTGAGTGACTTGAAGCATGAGCTTTAAACAGTGTTGGTCCTTCTGCTGAGTGTTGCATGGTGGCCCCCGAGAGCACCTGTGAATTGGAATTCAGCCCTCGGGCTGGAAGAGGCCTGTGGCTTCAGCAACACACATGCTCTGGTACTTCTGGTTAATTGCACCCAGACGGTGGGGCTGAGAGGCTGGGGCGGAGCCTGGAAACATCTGTGGGGCAGGGGAGGAGCTTAGTAGTGGGCGGGGCCTGATGGACCAGCAATCAGTATTTCTAGGATGTGTATCAGGTGGGCTGCTCCTTAGTACTGAGTGCCTTGCCTTGTTTCAAACGTTCCCTCAAAGGCCTGGGGAACAAGGAACTTGGATGCTTCAAATCTTGAGATGCAGCCATCCGATATTGGAGATGGGCCCTCAAGGGGGTGAGTTGAGTGTCCTATGAGAGCCTGTTTCTCATCCGTCCATCCTCTCCAAAGGAAACTGTTGACCTTTGTGGTTGGGAGATGCAAAATGGCCGCTGGGGAGGTAGATAGGCCTTCTGCCACCCTTGGGGGACGTGGGCTTGGGAGATGCCTGGTCCTGTGAAGGGGGCCAGCGTGCTGTGTATGAACACAAGTCCTGGGTTTCCTTTCGCGACCTCAGCGTGAGCTCCAGGTTTGGGAGGGTTCTGGGCCAAATCCCCCCAGAGGGTTTGCTCAGGCGGGGTCCACCTCTTTGCCAGCTCCTTTCGCCTGCCCGTTATGACCGCCATCGGCCCGAGTGGCTGGGTGGGCCCGGGGTTGGATCCTGGTGCTCAAGTCCAGGGGCCTGCAGTCTTGGCGCCCTCAAAGGTCTCCCCCCACCGCCCCCGAGGACGGTGGTATAAGAAGGCGCTGGGGTGGCAGAAGGGGCTGCCCTCTAGTTCATCCTCACAAGCTGGCACTGACACGGACGTGAGCCTCGGAGCACAGCTGCGCATGCCAAGCGCTTCTCGCAGAGGTGGCAAATGTGCCAGGAACGGCTGTGAAGCATGGAGCCGTCGCTGAGGGCGAGGAGCAGAGATGTGGGTTGTGTGCCTTGCGGCGGGTCGAAGACGGGGCCCTCAGGACTGTGAAGGCCGGGCTCTCGGACCACAGGGGGGCCCGGCCAGAAGGAGAAGAGCCCAGCAACGGGCTGCCCTGGGGAAAAGCAGCCACTCCGGGGGCTCTTGTCGGGGGGCTGTGGCCCGTGACTGACCTCGCTGGCCCCCGCGGCTGGCCCTGCCAGCGTCGGCGTGCGCGCGCACGGACGCCAGCACGCCCTTGGCCGCTCCCCGCTGTCCCCCGTGCGCTCCCAGCCACCGCCGCTGGCACTGCAGGCTTCCCTCTGCAGCAAGCCGGTCACGTCCGACGGGCTTTTTATGGTTTTGCCTGCAAGCCGAGCTGACGTCAGCGGCCGTGACGCCGCCTGCCTCTCCCCACGCCCTGGCCCTCCAAGTCCCCCAAACTGAGTTGCTTGCTGGCTGCTGTAGGTCTGTGCGTGTTCGGCTGGGCAAAATAACTCCGGACTCTGGAAGGGGAAACAAATGGTCCTTTCAGGGGATGCTCTGGGGTATTAAGGAAGCTGCAGGAAAAAGCAGATGCAGATTCCTGACTTTTTATTTTATTTAGAAGCGCAGGCGGTGTACAGCAGCCTTCCCTGACTGGGTAGCTTTGAAATGCTCGGGGCCACAGCTCCCAG